AGATTGCTGCCTTTTTTGGTCTCCTGGAATGGTGCTTGTGTTCTGCAGACTCTGTAAACTGAGCCATGTGGAGAAGGGAGTGAGATCTGGATAGCACAGCTTCATGTTATGTGGGTGTCCTGTATGAGCTGTGGGTTCGCCACCTATGCAGAAAGAAAGTCCCTTTCCTTATCAGGAGTAATTTTGAATTACACACCACTGAGAAAAAGGCAAGGACCTCAAGTCAAATTTATCTCATAAATAACAATGATTTAAAGGCTGAGCATGCTTATGCTTTATGCTTCTCAGAGTGTACAAATACAAATTAATTAAATGTTACTCTAGGCTGTATATCAAGACCTGTTTACCAAAATATTTCTGAAAATTTGTCTGAGGAAGGACTGCAGCTGAATTCAATTTGGGAGTAAATAAGAAGTGCGTGTTTCAGTCCTGGTATGGTCTTAAATGTGGCTTATAGATTTCATGTGAGGCCAGCTCGTGACCCTACCATCTGCCCTAAGGAACGCATGCCACGAAGAATAAACTGGAATCTGACCCCATTGCTCTGGGGAAGTGGTAATTTATGTCTCCCTTTGTTGGCAAGTAGGGTTTTTTTTAATCTGTGCCTAGTTTGCTGGAGCACAAAGGGTGGAAAGCGGTAGAGCCCGCCTTCACATCACCTCCACTCCTCTCTTAAATCCTCAATGCACGACTACAGCACATATGAGTTGCTACTGCTGTTTCTCTGTGCCATTAGTGTCAGTGACTTTATGCAGTCTCTGTGCTGTTGTGCAAACCGTCCCTGAGGCAGGCTTGAGGCCATTAGCTGCTTGTCCATCTCCTTTGCCTGCCACTAGGCTTTGGGAGCCACCTCGGGGCAACCCTACTGATATTTCTAAAGAGCTTAAGTAGGGAGCTTTGTGCTTGAGTCCCTCTTAGCATTTAGCTGTCTGACCTCCAACTATCCTGTTAGCCTCTGCAGTCATACCGCTAAGCAAATGAAGTGATCATGCATCCTAGTTAAACGAGGTGTAAATACTATCTGCTACAAAGGAGGTGGGTCTGTAGGATTCTGACCAATTTCATCAGGACTGTGTGCATACAATTTGACTGTGACAGTCTAGAATATCATAAAGCTAAGTCTTCATTTTGGTGTTATATGCATGCTGTAAGTTAGCCCAGACTGGAGTACCCCCAGTTTCATATAGCTAAGACATCTTATGGTGGAGAACATATACATGTTTTCTTTTGTTACATATAATAGTGAAACTGAAGTTAGAGCTCGATATTTTAAATTAATTGCTTCCTCTATAGAAATGTTCAAAAGGAGCACTGTATTTTTTGGATGCATGCCCTCCCTTCTGTTTCACACGTTGGCTTGTGACTATGGTTTGGTCCAGAACAGAAAGAACAAAACTGTTGTCCAATAAAGGCTATGTAAAGCCCTCATAATACAAGCCTAAGTATGAAGTATGTTTGCATGTGTAAAAGACTGCACATGACATACAAATGAAATAGTGAAGACAGGCAGCTCAAGGATGTGAATAGTATACTAAATACTAAAAGAGAAGGACAAAATAGAGAATTGTGCTTGACTTCCACATCTCTTCTCAACCAACTGGATATTTTTATTGGAAGCAGTGGATTGTGCTGGTAGAGATTTCATATTCCAAATGGGAATGCAGTTTGGCAAAATATCCTAGCTTTCAATACAGACAGATGAATAAAGGGTAACCTTTAAAATCCCCATAGAATAAACTGTTGAGAAACAAAACAGACACATGGAGAGACCATCTGCAAATTCTCTGAATGTGCAGAGCTGTAGAATACCATCCAGTTTGATACCAATTAATTTTTAAGCATGGTAAAATGGTACATATACATCTGTCATATTAAGAAAGAGCAAAGATTAGGCTTTCATTCTTGTTTATGATCTCCCATAGTAGCTACTACTGCAGTATACATTGAGCAGGTCTGCAAGCAGTGGCACATGGTAGACTTCAAACAAAAATGTGAGCCTTTCTGGCTCAAGAGAGTCCAGCCAGGGTTGCAGGTTTTCATCTTTGCCTACTGGGAAAAATTTATTAGGAAAGTAGAATTATTCCCAAGGCTGGCAGATATTAGACTAAAGCCATGTAGGATTTTCTTTGCTGCTGATGTCCCCTTGGCCATGAATGTTTTCTCTCCAGTGCTCATAAACCTAAACCTTGCTTCTGTAAACTAGGCTGGCCAAATGGATTGCAGTTATCTAGGTGAGTCATGGAAAGAGAGGTCACTAAGCTAATTGTGGCCTAGGCAACTGATAAATCATGCCCAGAGTTTCATTTGGAAACAGAAGCATGTTGAAAGTCAGCAAAGAGAGACTGTATTTTCATGTCCTGCACGGGAAGCAGGCTACTGTGCTCTGCAAAGACGGAAGCATATGCATGCTTTCCTCCTTCAATGTAAAATTCAGTGCAGAGCATTAGGGCAATTTTATTTAAAAAACCCCAGACACATACTGTCCAGATTTAGCTGTGTGCATAGCAGATGTCAGAGAATCTGCACTACTTTGACAAACCCAAACAGATGCCTCTGTAAGGTGATAGACTACTGGCTTAGCTTTTTCTTCAAAGTATTTTCCTCTTGCTATCAGCAACTGCTCTGTTCTGGTTGGATTTAGTTTAAGTCAGCTGTTACTTATCCAAGTTCTATCTGCATCTTGAGATGATGCAGTGATTATATAGGAGAGAAACAGGACACAGAGCTGAATATTATTCTTCTGTACAGATTTTGAAGAGGACAGAGGTAGCATCATTCCCTACAAGGTCTGCATGGATAATAAGTTGCAGTGAAAAGAAGATGGCTATTGCAGCTGTTTGACTGAAATCATACAATCCATGTGTGCCATGCAACCAGCTCTCTGGTGGCTGCTGTAGCATTGTACAAGGGTTCTGATATTGTGAATGGTGTGAGCATTGAATTCTCACTTCTTGCAGCTCCAAGGAGGCTGGGCAAGAGTAGTAAAGGGAAGAGGTGTGACGCTGGTCAGGCACCAGGAGATCAAGCTTCAGTTCTCATCTTTGCTACAATCTCTCTTTGCAACCTTGGACAAATCATTTAACTTCTTTGTGATTCCATTCATGATATCTGCACTTCATTCTTGTTAATAGTCCCTTTTATTCTGCCAGAAAATGTGACAACTAAGCAGGTCAATAAGCCATTCCCAGAGGTTGAGGACATCTGCTCTCTGATATTTGTGCTTAACGAGAGATGTACTGTATAGTGATGACTCCTAGTGGAATGGTGTTTTAAGTGTTGCCAAAATGAATAAAGATAATTTATGTTCTGGCAGTCTCTTTTTCTTCTGCCTGGACATTTTCATGATGAATGTAGTGGCAAACCCTTGGTGTTCATCTCTTCCTCCCTCCCCATCTTTTCCTTCATACTTAACAAGTTCTATTTACATATCTTCCAATATGTTTAAGTTATAGAGGGAGATGGATTTTCCATCACAACTGAACTAAAAGGAATTACAAAAGTTTTTTCAGGGAAATCATTGGTCAACAGAACTTACACTCTTCCAAACAGTGAACTGTTAAATTTAACTATCTTGATCAGATTAGACTTCCACATTTTCCCTCTCTATGAGTAAAACCACAGCAGTCAGGGAAGAGGTCACTCTGTCCAAGGACTGAAGGCAAGTTTGTGTCAAACTGTGGCTATTTCTGTCTGCTCAGTGATTTTCCTAGAGATGATAATTCGAGTATGGATGGATAACTGATATAGTCTACCACAGTACAGCTTTGATCAAAGTCCACAGCAGTTCTCTCCAGAATTTGGGTGTTTTTATTGCTGAGAAAGTGGCTGTATTTTTTGGCTGGTTTGCCAGCTCTGCCTTTCTTAAGGAGAAAGTCCATTAGCAATTTTAACCAGCAAAATGGGACAGGATTGTATCAGTCCATGTCCAGTGTAACCACTGTTTGTAGCATCTCACACTTTCTATCTTTTTCTTTTCATCTTCTGTCATTTATCCCATCCTTTGATTTCTCATTTAACCTTTGCCCACTAGTTCATCCAGATCAACATCATCATTATTTTGTAGGTTTTGCTAGATTACTCCTAAGGAGGATATTTGTTCCCTTTAAAGTCTTTTGAAGTCCTTAATTTCCATAATTATTTTCTTAATAGTAATTTTTTTGAAAAGTCAACATTTTTGTCTGTTAGTAAAACATTAATTTCAATAACTATGAAATCATTCAACTTCATTTTGAAAAAGTCACATAACTGCAAGTGTTTTTTATTTTATCGTTTGCATAGTTGGCTGCTCATCTGCTCACCAGGTTCTGGTGATACTGGCTCTATTCATGTAAATAAGGACTGCGGGAGCAAGCCTCTAACTGAGGAAAACCAGAAGTTTCTATCTTCTACCACCCCAACAATTTCCAAAAATGCACATGAAATTAAAAGAATCTTAATATTTAAATGATTAATTCCTAAATTGAATTCATTTTTACCAGAAAGTGCTCTAGGTTTCCAAATACTGCACATTGTTCGCTTAATTGTTAGCAAAGTTGTCACCCTTCAAGATCTGTGTTTCTGTGCCAACAAACTGGTTTTGGTATCTCTGCTACCCAGGTATAGTTGGGTGAGTGGCACATTCTGAGGCTGTGTGAGGTTAGTAGTGGCCCTGAAGTATGGAAGTGGATGAAGGGAGCTGGAGAAAGAGCATCACAGCTATGGTGACTGTTACAGGGGTGAACCTCTAAGGAAGTTCCCCAAGGCATGGTTCGCACTATTGTGGGAGATTGGCTTTCAGTACTGGCAGGCATAGCTGTGACTGGTTTTAGTTTCCATAGTTTCTGTAATGATAGCTGTGAAGGGCATTAGGCTTCAGCACGGCTTAGCAAGATGCCCAGGGAACTCAACAAGCCATGCTGAGGCCCATGCGAGACTGGCATCTATGTTAGCTAATTCACATATGTCTGTCTGTGCTGCAGTTGTTCCTTCTCCTTCTCATGTGTTTGCATATGTTTTTGCAGATAAACCAGACCCACCTGCTGGAACACCTTGCGCATCAGACATACGGAGTTCCTCCCTCACTCTCTCATGGTATGGCTCCTCTTATGATGGTGGAAGCGCGGTGCAGTCCTACACTGTGGAGATCTGGAACTCAGCGGATAACAAATGGACAGATCTCACTACCTGCCGCAGCACCTCTTTCAATGTGCAGGACCTGCAGGCTGACCGGGAGTACAAATTCCGTGTGCGAGCTGCTAACGTGTATGGCATCAGCGAGCCCAGTCAAGAGTCTGAGCTGGTAAAAGTTGGAGAGAAACAAGAAGGTTAGTTTTTAAGAGAAAAAAAATAATCTAAATTCAATTAAATGATATCTTAACAATTCCCTAGTGAGGTCAGGCAGCTGTACACACTCCTTCGTATGTGCCTCTGTGCAATGAGTGCTTATGCTGACTGTAGGCGTGCTGAATTCCCTTCGCAGACTTCACGTGGATATCTGACCGTATAAGTTTTGCATGCATCCAGTGCAGAAACTTGTCTTCGGGGATCCCATAGTCCTGCCTTGTGAAAGCAACAGATAGTTTGACTTCTGGCTTGCTGTGTGAGTGCTGGCTGACAGATTTCTGTAGTTCAGTGCACAGGTAATGGGGGATGAAACCTTTCACACACGAGTTACACATTCAGACCATGCCTAGTTGGAAAATGATGTTTGGTGGCTTACCTGAAACATACTGATGGGTTCATTACAGTTTATACTGGACACACCATGGAAAAACAAGCCATAAATGCTATCCCAGATTTGCTTTTGGAAAAAGTAGATGTGCTTGCTGCTAGCCAAGCACTGAATATGCAGCAGAAACTGAATTAGCCTCTTATACCTACTTATAGTTCCCATGCCTTAAATCCCAGCACGGTAGAGCACCTCAGTCCTAGAACACTAATTTTGTGAATTCAAGGCTACCCTACCTAGCATGTTGGTTTTGCAGCATTATGGGTGCTAAAAATATTTTTTAGGGGTTTTGATTACAGTTGCATGTACTTGCAAAAATATTTTTCAGTATCTTTTGCTTCCTATTTTTTGCTTAAGATCTTCTCAAAGGACCAATGGGAAGAGCTGGAGCATTTTAGAAATTATTTGGAAACTGGTACCAAAATTTTAAACACACACAAAGATCAGCATTATTTTTAAAAACAGATGTTGACTGCATATTCTTGTGCACACTCACATCTACCTACTGTGCAAGGATCACTTTGATAGTCATACCACACCAAAAAGCCCAGATCAGAAATAATATAGTTTGTGATTTTTTCCTGTCTTTGAGGAGTGGATTGTGTTGTATCTTTCCCTCCTTACTTATGTATGCAGGGCTTTGGAGTTCTGTCTCACGTAATCCTTGTGATGTTATCTTTTATTGCCACAGCAAGACAAAACAATAGCAAAGTGGTGCGGCATCACTCAACTGCGTAAGCCTCCCAACACACTTTTCCAAACAAAAGTAAATCATTTTTCTCTTCAAGTGGTAAATTGGATGCATTCTGAGAAATTTCTTTCCTCTATTTTAAAGATTTAAAACCTGATCTAAATCAAGATGCAGCTTCTCTTCAAAGCGGGGAAAATAACATTAGGAGTAGCAATAAAATTGAAAAGAAGATAGACGGTATCAGCTCTTCATAATAAAATTCCCTGTGTTTGAATGCTCTTTTTTTAGTTGCAGGGTGAACAACTTCTAGAGTTGGGGACCTGACTCTTCCCTACATTTGTTTTTTTCTAGAGCAAGCATTAGTTATACTGGACCAAAGCAAAATAGCTATTTTTCTTTTTTAAGACTGAGAGATTTAATACAAAAAGGCTAGAAAGTGTATGAATCATTGTGATACATATAAAAACAACAGAAAAGCTTGTTCTGAGTGAAAAGAAAATGTATTCTGCTTGCAGGAGGGTGGGTTGCCTTGGTGCTCTCAATGCCAGGGCTTCTCGATTTCAGTTCTTGATACTGCAGCTAGCATGGACAAAGGGCAAGTCACAGAGCGTGATTTTTCAAGTGTGTGAATACAACTGGTGCTTTAATTCAAGTCAGTGGAAAGTGCATGTGTTCAGCACCTCTCAGAATCAGGACTTTAGCTGCCATCTATGTAAACACTTAGCTGAGTAACTAGGGATTTTCCATTGCTGCCAGAAAGACTGATTACTGATTTTCATACTGAGGTGGCCAGTGCATATTAGCAATCACAGTATAACCTTAGTGAACAAAGGCATAGCTAACTTTTCTCTGTGCATTTAAAGAAAACAGCCACTAAAATAAGGTTGTAAATCACTACAGATTGAAGTAGGCTTCACCACGTTTGAAGAAAATTTGGTACCATTGACTCACTTCTGAGAAAGGTTTTAGCAGAGCTACTCAGCCCTTACCAAGCTCAGATATGTTCCACTTATCGAATTCAGGCTTCCACTGGTGGACCAAAATGTTTCTAGTTCATGGCTTCAATATCGTGTCACTGCAGAACTGGGAAACTGGCTTCTTTGTCTAATCAGTATTTGGCAGACATTAACTACTGGCAGCGTGGCTGGGATCAGCTCCCTTGTGCAGCCCTTAAAAGGGGAGGAAAATGTGATGTGTTCTGTGCAAGTGTGGTTCCTAGCTGAGGAAGATCTGAGGACAGCTACCCCTGAGTGGGGAAGGCTCGCTCCCCTCCCTGCTCTTTTGGTAAATTGCTCCAAACCAGCTAGTTGTGCTGGGACGTGGAAGTGTTACAAATCCAGAAATAAAAAGAGAGAAGGGTTTTAGTAACAGATTATAGCCACTTGATTGTCTTTGCTACCAGAATACAGATGCAGCATTATGTTTTGGATGTGAAAAGTTGGTGCCCATGCATCAGACCAGCTATCTGCTCGCCCTGCACCCTTTTTTCTGTTTTTTTCTTCTCATCCACTGCATATAACTCTAAAGCATCTAACAGTGTCCAGAGTACCACATTAATGCTTCAGCAGCTAAAGGGGGAATTGCACAGGTCACTGTGCAACTGCCTTTGCAGTGTTTCAACTTACTGGTCATAGCCACAGGTTTAATTAGCAAGCCCAAGCGGTGTAAGTAATATATAACAGCATTCCAGCTACAACCCCTTTCCCCTCATACCTGCAGGAACAACACAAAATGGATGCTACTGACAGTTCATGCACATGAAAATTAAAAATTAAAATCGAGACACTCAGGTCAGCTTTTACTCTGTCTTATGTCACTGGGCTTGCCAACATCTCTTCCTGCCTTTGAGTATGCCTGCAGAACCAAGGCTCCATTTGGACCTCAGTGATTTCAAAATTCAGCCATGCTCAGGAAAGTGCATTGCTGTCCAGATTTTCTCATCATCTGGAATCTGAAAAATTTGTCTGGATGCTTTGCAGGAAATCTTTTCATGTACAAACTTGTTTTATTTTTGGCTTTGCAATCCAAAAAATGCATAGAAAAGCTAGAAAAATATTTGTCATTGAACCAGAAGTGTTGTTATTGATTTTAATTAATTTATTTTTCATCTCACTAAGGCATTCCTAAAGCTATTTATTAGATTACTTTGAATCAGTATGCTGACATTCCTAGTAGGCAGGTATAATAGACAAGTACTGCAAAATACATGAACTTGATTTATTAAGAAATGGTGACCAGATTGTGATTGTGTAGTCAATAGTTACGAAGAAGTGGTGAGGAGATTTTAATTACAAAGTTAATGCACAAACTCCCTGACTGCTTTTTTGCTGCGTAGTCATAGAGTCTACCAGTTGCCCATGTTACTGTGAATAAGCTTTCTATTTTATGCAAGTACCACATCGTATATAATAAGTAATTCCTGTCTGTTCGTTTTCATCATAGAACCTAAAGAGGATGAAGTGGAGCTATCTGATGATGGTAAGAAGTTTGTATCTTAATCAGGACAAATGCAAATCTGTGTTTTTAATTCATGTTTTATGGAGGTTTTAATCATGGTCCTTAATACTTATTTGTAGAAGGGAAAGAAACAGAGGCCAACTATCGGACGGTTACTATCAACACTGAACAAAAAGTTTCAGATGTCTATAATATTGAAGAAAGACTGGGATCGTAAGTACTATATTGTGCTTTTGAAGACACAGAGTTTTCAAGGCTACCAGTCAATTATAAAGATCACGTGCATTTATTCTTTGATGGTGTCACAATTCCAACATTCCAGACGGGTTCCTCTGTTGCAGTAAAAGTAGACTAACATATGTTGGCCTCCACTCCATAAAGATCCTTTATTCTTACTAATTGATAATTTTAAATAGACACTACATGCATTTCTGGCAAGGAAAATGTAGCCTACAGATGAATAAAGCTAGAGGATTCATTCGTTGTTCAGTGTTCTAAAAGCCAGCTGAAAAAAAAGCTACACATTGTGTACTTGCATTTCTATTATATCCATTAGTGGTAATAAGATTATCCTGCCCATGGGCTAGAATCTCTGTTCACAGTGGTCATAATCCCAAGAGCATTAATAGTATTGCTCAGTGAAGGTCAGTGATTAGCCTGGCTGTGTTTCTCAGTGCTCAAACTCATGGTTATGTGAATTGCATGCCATGATAATCTTTCAGCAATTTGTGCTGCGGGTGGTGCTGAAGGCCAGGGGATCCTGTGTGCTGCCATTAACAAATCCTGACAAGTGTATCTAGAGGTGGAATCGTACACATACAGCAATGTGAAATAATAGTACTGAAGCCTCTAGCATTCAGATTCTGATTTCACCTATATCCTATATCCTATACCTGAGAGGTCTCCTATCTGCTGCTCCTTCAGAGGTGTATGACCTATAGAAAACTGTGTCCAGAAAAACTCGAGTCACATGAATTAAAGCCTGGTAGGAGTCCATTTTTTGAACCCTCTTACATAAAACTTGCTAATTGGGATAGTAGGGTATCTCTAAATGTGGTATTCGTGCAAAAGTTCTTGGAGATTACTCTGCACAAAATTAGTGTAGAACAGTACTTGATATGAAGATATTTTAATTTTGGAATAGAGTGGTTGCACTGGAATATTTAGTAAAATGTTGCTATTTATGGTGGCCCATACATTGCAAAAACATTTTATGGAAATAGTTATATATTTTCAGGGGGAAATTTGGACAAGTCTTTAGGCTTGTTGAAAAGAAGACTGGAAAAGTTTGGGCAGGAAAATTTTTCAAAGCATATTCTGCTAAGGAGAAAGAAAATATAAGGGATGAAATCAGCATCATGAACTGTCTACATCATCCAAAACTTGTCCAATGTGTAGATGCCTTTGAAGAAAAAGCCAACATCGTTATGGTCTTGGAAATGTAAGTATAAAGCAGATCACACTAACAAAGCTAATAATGTTGAAAATAATTGTGCATACAAAAGTAGCGATTTATCTAGACATAGGACTGTCAAAAGCTTCAACATCTTCAGGGCCTGGATGGTTTTCACATCTTGCAAGTTTTTCCACGTGTTTACCCCATTTGTTTAAACTGGGTAAGTGAATCTGTGTTGTATCTTTTAAAAATCAGTGAAGATGTGTTACAGTCTTTGTTGTCTAGTTTGTTTTTTAACCAAGTACATGTGGTGGTTTTCTGCACCTCACTCTTATTGCCAACTTGGGAGGGGAGAGAAAAAAAGTTAGCTGTTATTTGGGCTTGCATTTAGAACTAAAAGCATGTTTAAGGAGGAGAAATTTTTTTTTTTTTTCTTTAGGCAGTTCAAAACATGTATTGAAGAAGCTTGTGTCAAATTTCACTCCAACACTGATCTTGCAGGTGTCTCACAGAGAATTGAATGTTGGTGCATAACAGATAGTAAGAGAGAAATATATGCTTGAGAATGCAGACATATAAGCTACATTCTACAAAACTGTTGAATTTCCATGGAAAATTCATCCAGCCAAATTTATAGTACCCAAGAGATAGTTGGAAAACTCCGGTTTTCATCAAGTGCGATATCCAGTTTTTATATTTTTAAAGGACCTTAAAGGATTAATCTGATGTGGTTTTCCTGCAACAAATTAAATACTCTGATTGCAAAACATTTATTTATAATAAAGGAGTGCTGTCTGAAAAATCTCCACAGGTGAACCCATTGAATGTTCTAAATTTAGATCAGTAGATGCAATGAGTTCTGTTTCTCTCCCCAAATTAATTAAACAGTAATTGATCTGCCCCTAATGTCAATATACAGATTCTCCATGATGGTCCAGGCGTAGCCCTTGTAGAAGGGAATTTCTCCTTGAAAGTCACTGCACTCCTCACCCAAAGCTATCTGTACAGTTAGGTAGAGCTGAATTTGAAATCAGCCTGTGTTGCTGTCTTGTTCTTGCTGAGTAAGATAGCAACACTTAATTTTACCTCCCAGAAATTGTTCGCCTTGAGCTACTTAATGCCACACCACTGTGGAAAACAGCAGAAAAGTACCACAAAAGCAGTGTTGTAAAGCATCTCACAAAGCTGTGACTTGGGTATCTTTGTACTTAAAGATAATAGATATTTAATTCCAGAAAAAAGAAGGTTCAGAACATGTTCGTGCACCAGAATTCATTATAAGAAAAGAATCTGCATTGTGTGGGATGGAAAGTAATGATCAGACTTCAAAAACAGTAACGAACAATGTGACCAACGTTTACATCATCCAGAACACACCTGCTTAGTGTGAAACCCATGATCGTGGCAGTAACAGCTGGAAAGAAAATGAAATCCTGATCTGATGCTTTTCCCAAAAAGTTACATCAGTTACTGTTCTGCTGCCACATCTGCTTCACGTGCTGTCTGCTGCAAGAAGGAGAAGCACTTTTTTGTGGCTGGAATTGCTGTATAAGATATAAATCGTTAAAAGCAAAAGAGATTATTGTCTATTAATTAAAATATGTCTATTTTGCTTTCTTGGCACTTGCCCAGATTATGTGCAAACTACTACTGCACTAACAATTTCAGAGACTGGATCTCCATTATACAACCTTGGTACTTATGTGCAGGAGGGTGATTTTATTTTTAGATTCAGCAGTTGAGCAAGCTGATGATGGTAAGGGAAGGGAGCCCTACTTAGCTTGGAATGGGGAGCTGGCAGACCTAATGGAAAACAAGGAAATGTATAAAGAGTTTTGAATAGCATATGGCTTTACACTCCATTAGTTCCCTCTGCCAACAAAGGGGTCTTACTTTTTAAGAATATAGAAAACTGCAATCAAATTTCAAGTAGTTTAGTTTCCAGTCTAATTAGGATGTGAATTTAGTTTGAGATGGCCACCTTTTCTGGCCTTTGAACCCCCCCGCTGAAATTTCCATAGTGTCGAGTGCCGTAGCAGGAGGGGTTCTTGAAGCAGGGCGCAGGCAGGAGCGGTCTGTCCCTGCTCCGGATCAGGTCTGGGCAGAGAGATGCTTGTGTGACACCTGCGTGTCAGATGGCTTGGTGGTCTCTACACCGCTACGTGTTACCCAGCTGACACAGTGCCAGCACGGCAACTGCACCTGCATTGCTAGAGAGCCACTGATGGATCATTTCTGGTTTAGCTATTAAGCGAATATTTCTTTTCATATTGAAGATGTTGCGGGAAATACCTTCAAAACTTCTTAGTATCTAAACTGTTCTCATTGTTCCCCTAAAAGTCTAAATGCATGGATTTCAAATAAATCAAGCTCACCTGCCATCAGTCTCCTGTCCTGACCTGTCTCCTGTCATCATCTGACATCCTCACCTGTCTCCTTTTAAACCAGCTTTTATCTATGACTGGAATTCAGCAGCTCCTCCTCCACTAAAATTGGAGCTATTGATGAGATGCACCTTTGGATTTTTCTTCCTGATATTCATCCTGAATTTTTTTTTCCCATATCCTTGTTATAATGTTTTGAACTTCACCCTCTCTCCTTTTAATATTTGTCATGCCACTATTTTATATGCTTTGATTTCATATTTATAATAAATTCGGAATTTTAAATCATTCATTTAAAATCAAACACTATAATGATTCAAATCACTTGATGTGCTCTTCCCTGGAAACCCTCCCATCTGCCATTTGCAAATCTCAGGCATTTCCCTTTCAAATATAGCAATGTACTGGCTCCACAATAAGCATCTCAGTGGAAAAAGAATATTTGAAAAACAGTAGCATGTTGTGAATGGCAGTCAGCACTGGGAGCTAAGTGCCTTAAAGATTTTACATACTTCTGATAGTCAGCTTATTTTGACATAGATCAGAAAAATATTATTGTATTTTAAATTAAGATTGCTAAAGCAAAATTTCAGCAGTAAACTGTGTTAATTTGGTGTGATTTAATTGGCACAAGTCATTAAGGTTTTCTCTTTTTTTCAAAGGGAGATTTATTAAAATGCAGTTGAGTATTTGCCTGGGAAAATCCAAGGTAGATTATTCTCACTGCTCCTCCATGACCAAAACCTTATAATGAAATATTTTTAAAATGTGCATTCTGTGACTCTATAGACAGGAATATTTTCCTCTGTGACCTCATCTAGAGAAGACTGAAAAGAGGAGAATCCAGAAAAGAATGAGAGATTCAGATTCTGAACTAGGTGTGACTATTTGAAGGAAGCCAACTTCTCCTTCTCTGTATACGTAGAACCTAACCTGTATTGGTTCAGTTCAGTTTCCTAATCTGGCAAAAATTAAACTGGATTTGGCTCAGGATATAAATGCAAAACTATGCATTCTATAAATGCAATTGCACTTCAGTCTAATAAAGTTATCAGAGTGTCTAGAGGCCCCAGGGTAAAACCAGCATGCAGGTGTATTAACAGTAGTTAATTTCCAAATAATATACTAAAACGTGGTGCTTGAGACAATGGTATGAGTTCTGAAAATTTTTCACTTTAAGGATCTGAAAAGTATGAGATTTTTATAGTAAAAATAAGTTGTCATTATCTGTGTTAAATAGTCAAAAAGTAACTGGTACTTTTTGGTCTTAGGATGGTTATCATTTAGAATTGCAGAGTGCTCCAGATATAAACATTTTGTATGCAGGTGTCTTCATAAACACCTCTGTTCTGGTTAATGTCTTACTGAAGTAACAAAATACTAAATCCCTGATTTATCAGAGCTGTTTAGTCAACAGCTTTAGCCATATTATTGGCTTTATGTTACCAATGTGCTATAAACCAACATAACCTCTCAGTTTGTCAAGCATATGCTATTCTTACTATTTTCATGTTAATAGGAAACTGCAGTAGCATTTCTAATAATATATTTTTTGAAATCTCATAGCTAAAGCAACAAATGTGTCCAGAACTCCAGATGTTTAAATTTCAGTTATATATGATATATATCTAACAACATGTAAACATTGAAAGGCCAGTTTTGAGTTGTGTGTTTTCTTTCTGTAACTGAAATGTGCAATTACATTTGGCAGTAAGCATGAATACTGCAAAATATTAAGCCATATAAAGACCATGGAGCATTTAATTTAGAACAGATTTCTAAAAGCAAAGCTGCTCTTCACCATTTGCTCCTTTCTGTATGGGTCATTCACCCACTGCATACAAAAAAAAGTATTTCCCATCTTTGGATGTAAGCAGCTGAGTGATTCCTCAGAATTTAAAAAACAAAACAAAACAAAACAAAAAAACAAACCAACCAAACAACAAACAAACCACAACTTAAATTTTGTTTCAATAAATCTAGGTTTAAAATGTCCCACTTTAGTTCCAAAACCAGTTCAATCCAGGAAATTCTACCCTGGAAAAAACAATTATTTCACATCTTAAATAAGCATAAAAATTCCATTGACCCACAAGGAGTGTGATGATGGCTCAGCTAAAAATACAAGCACTGAAAGAGTTGTGGGTTTTATCCTTGTCCTGTCAAAGCTAAGAAGGCAATTCCCTCCGAGCTCAATTGGGTCAGTAATTCACCCTTTGAGCTTTGCCTTCCAATTAACCATATCATTTGAAATCTTCCTTCTTCAGTCTTTCTTTGTCACTCAGTCTTCCTTCTTCCCAAATTTTTGCTCATCTGCTAGAAGTTTTGTCCTCTTTTCCTGGGACCCATCCCATATATTTTAGTTTTCTTTATTTCTGAATTATGTTATCTGTACTAGTGTAGTGACGGGCACAGGAGAGAAGGAAGCAGTGAGAAACAAGAGCTCAGAGTCTGGGGCGATGTTAGAAACACATCTCAGCAGGGTGACCATCACATGGCACACGTTTTATTGCCAGCTGCAGGTAACTGAAGCCTAAAGGCAGGATGTAAATCCAGCTACATCCCTACTGCCTGGGTTTTGAGTGTTTCACAGTCCTAACCTGGGAAGGAAATTCAGAATGGAAAAAATCTATTGATTTATACCACACAGAAGAGATGATTCTTCCTATGTGATCCTTGTGTCTATGAAAATTGCCATTACAAAACATAGATTGTGTCCTGAAGTGACTATTGCAACCTTGAACTATCTGTATTTCTGTAAAGGAAACAGTTTGATTACTCTCAAAATGAAAATGCTACAGAAGTTCTCTTTTTATTCTGTCTTTCTTAGGGTTTCTGGAGGAGAACTCTTTGAACGAATCATTGATGAAGACTTTGAACTGACAGAGAGAGAGTGTATTAAATATATGAAGCAGATTTCAGAAGGAGTTCAGTACATCCATAAGCAGGGTATTGTCCACTTGGATTTGAAGCCAGAAAATATTATGTGTGTCAACAAGACCGGTACAAGTATCAAACTCATTGACTTTGGACTTGCACGAAGATTAGGTAATGATTTTTCTGCCTATTTCAATATGACATGGGGAAAAGGGTAGGACAAGCAGTAATTCATACTTACTAGTATATTCTTTTGTGTATAAAGAGTAAATATACATGTTTAAATAGTTCTGGTTTTAGGAAAAAATAGAAAAAGAAATAAAAAAAAGACATTCAAGAATGAGAGTAGGGCACCACATCTGCAAGAGGAGTTTGAAGTGAAGTGCATACAATCTACCTACCTGTTTCTGTGGCTAGGGTATCCTTGTAGATAACTACTACATGGTAGTAGTAATGTTGACAAATATTTACATTTGCTACAGAAAGACATAAACACTAACTCTGTAACTGTAAAAAAATAGAACAAAACCTTGATCTTCATGAATACTGCAAATCCTTGAAACTTTTGTAATAGCAGGAGTTAAGGTGACTTTCTAGAAGCCTTTCAGATATGGATAATTACCTTCAATTCACATTTCACCATTAGTTTTATGATTTTTTTATCCTAAACTGCAGCACATCATTATAAATGTTAAACATGGGAGGAATTCTATAAAGAGCTGTGTTTTGATCATGCTCAAAATTATTAATAAAATAGCACTACTTAAAAATAATGCAATGGCTTGGGGGTGCTGGGGGAAAGTTCTGTTTGTCAAGCTGCTCCTACTCTTCCTTAGCTTTTTTTAGCTGCTTCCTATCGATCAATTTGGAATAAGCTTTCCAACGTGCTTTGCAATTTGAAAGCCAAAGGCCTCAGAGGGTTCTTATCTTCATATTGCTCAGCATTAATTCAGCTCTAAAAAGCAGCCCTCCCACTGTGTTTGTTAATGTTAAACAATACCAGCATCACACACTGATCTTCCTTAACCTTGTATTTTCACAAGAGAAAAAACAAATCATTCCAGGAACTGAAAGTACCTAAATACTTTATGAACCTCTTACACTGGGAGAGTTAAGATTGGTGGCTCATCTGCCATTAAATTGATTGGGGCAACTCATATGAATTGCTACTATCTATGTAAAGGGGACCACAGCTAGATTCTTGGTTGTAATGTTTTGCCTTCTCTCTATAAGCAAAATGATATTTAATACTCATTACAAAGTAGAACAATCATTTTTGTAAGAATAATTTGGAATTACAACCTTCTGGGTTTTGTTATCTGATCGTACTACTTCTTTTGACACGTAACAGTCTCCTGCATACCCAAGAATATAATTTACTAAAACAAACCAAAAATTGTATGTTGAATGAATAGAGGAAAAGAAATCTGCTTTTCAGATTTTTAGATGATGTTCAGCTCCAAAAGGGTATTACATGAATCTTGGTCACATGGACACTGTGAACTCAGAGACAAGGTGTTTATTTCATTTGTTAGAAGACATCACTGCCATTTATGTTCCTTCACCAGTACAGAGCCAACAGTTTTCTGGGAGCATGAACTGGATTTTGTTCTTGTTGAGGAAACAGATGAACTGTTAATTAAGTTCCAATGCTGAAGTCTTGGTTATCAGAGGTGCATCAAAGACTTCATCCCATGGCATTCCATCTGTCAGCCTGAAACCTGCACATTTACTGCTGAACTGAGTGGTTTTTATCAACAAGAGATAGAATGTAACCACCGAATGGCCTTTTTATTGAAATTTCTTCAACTACTTCTTTAACTTCAAACAAGAGTTAAACCCACATATGGCAAAAGAAAGACCCTGTTTTCAGTATCCTGTTCATATTCATCAGTTTTTCCATTTCTCTGTTAATATTGTGGCATCACTGTATATTGCACGGCTGGCAGGAGCTTCTGAGCTGCTACAGTCATGTCATAGGTGGTAAATCTCTAACCTATATATAACTTTTCTTGATGTAGAAGGATGAAAGCTAAAGGCACTGATGCTGATTTTGATTTTACAATACTGCACATTCATTTGGATGAATATGTTGCTAATTCTTGCAAAGTTACATTACAGGCATTTGCTGTTTCACCAGCAGGCTGTTCTGGATAACGCAGTGTATGTGGCATTTTCCTAGGAAGAGAGTGTGCCCTCCCATTCCATGCCCATAAAGCAAAAGCACCATATTAATCCTGAAGATGTTTGCAACATTTTGGTTGAGATGTTTTCCAAAAGTAGAAAACCATTTTTAATGTTTCTTCTACTTACAAGTATGGCTAAAAGCACTTTTCAGTAAGTGCTCTCTTCTTGCCAGTTGTCTTACATGGTGCACTGAGGGCACACTCCTCCACTTGTGTTCCTTCAAACCTTGTGATTTTTAAATTGGCTGTGAAATTCAGTTGGGCTTTGATACATGTGGGATTGGAGCCCTCATACTATGGACCTGACCCTGACTGAGCAGAAACTGCTCAACCAAGGGACTGCTGAAGGGAACAGTGGCTGATTTTGCAGTTCAACTTCTGAGATTTACTTTTAAATTTTTGCAGCTATTGCAAACTAATACATCTAAATATTCAGTGTTTTGATCAGTTTTAAAGAAATTGGGATCAGCTCCTTCTGCAGTCATCTTCTGCAGCTAATTAGTTCTCTTGCACTGTCAGGAAATACCAAAGCTGCAGTGGGATATTTTCCTGACCTTTTTTGGTGTGCTGAGGAACACATGTAGAAAATTGTTTAAGATAAACTTCTTAAGGAGAAAAGAGAATGGGTTTTGAGTACTGTAAAGATTTTTTTAAAAAAAATTAGTTGATTATACAGTGTTGGCAAAAGTTTCCAGCTAGCTTGTCATCTTTCTGTCTGCACTGAGGATATCCAAACATAGATCCTACTTGTGTACTAAGCTTGTAAACATCTGGGTAAAGATTTGACATATTATTGCATAGAAAAGGTCTATTCTTTTATTTTCTTTTTTCTTTTATACACAGAAAATGCTGTATCAGTTGTTTCACACTATGCTTGCACTCAAATGCCATGTTTTCAAAAAACATTTCTCTGACCTGTGGGCAGCACATTTCATACACCAGCCTCTTGCATACACAGTGGTTCATGGTAGTTTACACAGTGCACAGAAAAGCCTCCAAACTTGGATGTGAGCCTGAGATTTGGACGATCATGATGAAGCTTTTAGAAAATAGGTTCTTTGTGACAAATTTCAGTAATTTTTCAAAAGGACAGTTGGAAAAAAATGTAGGCATTGACCTTAAGAAAAGACAAATGGGAAGATGGTATCTTAGGCTTCCTGATTGGCCTTGGAAGGGTGATCTCTCACTCCTCGTTGCCACCGTGGAGAAGACATCGCCCTTGTTTTAGACTAAGTCTCTTTAGACTGGATATTAGGAAAAGGATCCTACTTTTGGGGGTAAGAAACTCTGGTTATGTGAGTGTGGGGATGTTGTGGGATAGCTTTTGAATGTGCTTTTTAAAGGCCAGTCAGACAGCTGGCAGGAAGGTCTTGATGTCGGTCAGCTTGCATGGGAGGATCTAGGTGATCTCCTGGGGCAGCTCCCAGGCATTTTTCTGCCTGTTTCTGTATCTAGAAATGGGTACTCTCTGCATGGAGGGGTGTCTGAAAGCAGGGATAACATTGGAAAATGAGGTTTCTGCATTTAATTTACTGTCACCGTGCCATCATTAAGCAAATTATTAACCCCATATATCCTTCAATTTTCATTTGGTAAGTTGGGGATTTGCATACCTCAGAAGAGCACTAACCTAAGTGATTACATTTTAAAAAATGGCTTAACAGCTTTCACTGGAGGCAACTGTAGGTGTGGAGTCAGTACTGGGATCAGCATTTATGTTGCAAAACATGGTAGAGGAAGTTCAGGCAAATAAAAATACTCTGTAATGATTCAGTGTTTTGGACAAGTAGCTTCTGTTGTAGTCTTCTCAAAACTTTGATTTGCTGTTGTCTGAGGTTTTTTAAGCTTTTCTCTTGATTACAGAGCTGCAAATCTCTTGTAGTAAACTTAATAGGAGCAGGATTGCAATCTCTTACACCTGTTTTTCTTCCATTTCATATCTGTTTTGTTTAGATGGTAATGTCGGGTGGGGGGGGATGGTTCCTCACTATGTCATTCTGTTGTGCCTAATCTGGATGCTACTCTTGCACAGAAGATACACAGAATGCAATGAATCTCACTTAAGACAAAACATTGATTGCTCAGGCACCTGTACAGACTGGACAAGAGTTTCTCAACTTAAATCCAAGCCTGTTTCAAGTCAGAAACAACATATTTCCTGACATTTTTATATTTTTATAATACAAATTTCTTACTGGGATTGGTTTTTTTCCCCAATCTCTAACCCATTCCTTAGTTTCATTCCTTCCTGACCTTAGTCTTTTCTTCTTCTTCCCATCATATTTAGAATGAGCATCAGTAAAAATAAGTCCATTGAGATTTGCCTAATAAGTTTTATCTAAATGACTTGTGTATCACACTATAAACAGAAGTTAGACATATCGCTCATAGCTGCTCACTGGCAGCATAAACTGGCAATACTAGGTTCTATACAGGTTGTTATTCTACTTTAATCCCTGTATTTTCCAGTAGAGCACTACTGATTGGTCAGCACAAGAAAGATGAAGAGTTAATTCACGTGTCCCATCACCTCATTGTTTCAGTTCACATTGCTAATAGCAGTAGCTTCATTGTAACTCATTTTAAAAGCATCCGCATAGTGTGTAAGCAGAGCCAAATGTAGGACACCTGTGCTACTAAGCATTTGTGGTTCCCCTTCACCACTTTAGAGCTCCACAGGTATGCTTGTAGGCAAGCCTGGTTTTGAGAGCAGCCTTAAACCCAGTTTTACTGACAAGGTAGTGATCTTGTTTCACCACCAAACTGTGCCAGTTCAGATCTCAGAGACATGCAACCCCATGCTGATTTTCTTTCCTGTTTAAGCTATAAAAAAATGAGTTGGATAAAAATAGTTACTTATTATTATTTTATCACTACTGTTTCTTTTTATAGCAGAATCCCTGAGCAGATCCTGGAGCTTTGATAAATCTTAGATAATTTGTGAAAACTTCAACTTCTTTCTAACACTGGAATCCTGAAGTCCTCTTGTGCAGCTGCTACAATGATGGAGGCTCAAACACTTTTGTAGTTCATGACATGCAAATCTGAATTAAACACTAACATTTCTCCTCTTAGACTTGGTCTTGTGGAAACTCCTTGCAATGGAGTACAACTCCCTGTATAGTGCTGTGTGCTTGAGGATGCTTAATAAATAATTGTTTATTGCTATACATGTATCAGCTAAGAAAACAGCAGTTCAAGCATTATTTATTTTTTCTGATAAGGATCTTTAAGAAAAATCACAAATATGAGGACAAAGCCCGTTTTCCTGTTACTGGAGAATAATTGTTTTTAAAAATCTACATGCAGCAGTTAATGGTTTTCTCTTTCATTCTTCACAGAAAATGCAGGTTCTCTGAAAGTTCTCTTTGGGACACCTGAGTTTGTGGCTCCAGAAGTTATAAACTATGAACCTATTGGATATGAAACAGATATGTGGAGTATAGGTGTTATCTGCTACATTTTGTGAGTACCTTTGCTATTCTTAACACAAATCCTGACAGTTGCTGAACATACAAAATTTCCATCAACTTTTGAATTTTCTGGTTTTCAGGCCTTTTGTATTCTAATTAGCAGCTCCAGCATGTTAATAAAAATTGTCTGTTCTCTGAAGGGTGTAACTGGTAAAGTGCAGAACTAGCAGTTCTGGAAATTCAGCCATTTAGGGCTATACATCTTCCATTATAAATCGGTGATGTTTCATATCTTTTTAAAAAAATGTGATGACAGTATTTTATTATTAACATTGAACTATTTTTCCTTCCCAGATGTTAAAGAGAAATGTATGGGCATGCACTACTAACTGGTAATTTCTATTCTTTCATTCTCAAGAGAGAAATTTTTTATGAAATTTTGAGGTTGTCTTCTTCAGATTGTATCCCTTGTGGGACAGACTAAAGTATCCCAGCATTCCCATATCTGTTCACAGTGCATTTTATCTTATTACTAAGCACAAACCACGGGATAAATACATTTTATAAGCAGCATGGATCAAGTTCGTGGAAATATTTTAGAGGACGGTTGGCTGCAGCTCTTGGTTATGTATTTTAGTATTTGATTTGATCTTTATATGTGATTTGATAACAGTGATTATGAACTTCAGTGGGTCTAGAGCAATGTATATGGAAATAGGATCTCCTGCTTGCCTAGAACAGCAAGCAGTCTTCTTCCAACTGTGAATTTACAGATTGATGCCATATAAACAAATGAAAAAAGAAGCTCAATTTAGAGCATGTTTTTTTCTCCCTCACTCCAGTTTCAGTAGTAAGTAAATGGCAGATCTGCTTTGCACTCATTCTTTTAAAAGGCTCCTCTCAATACCTTACGTTCTTTTTAAGTCCCCTCTGCCCTGGCTACTGGCTTATTTGACACCTGACAAAGCACAGTTGTTTGCTTCATCTTTACTCAGTCTTTCTGTGATTCTTCTTGCCTTGTCAGCCTATACTTGTTCTCATACTATTCTAATTTCCAAACTAAGCAACATAATTTTCTTTCTTGTCCTGTGCAAAAGCTACTACATCAACTTTCTTACTCCCAGCAAAGACTTGGAATATTTCTGTTATCTTCTGGTTTTTATGTGAAGGGTGCTACATTCTTCAAGGTCACTTTGCTCTGCCAGTTTATTTACAGAACCTTTATTTTCCATTCACTTCCAGCATTTCTTTCTAGATCTTGAAAGCTCGTTTGGATCACTCCGTAGTTCAAATAATGTAGACCACACAGGCAGTACTCAGATGACAAATGCATTTATTTCTCTAGCTTCTGAGGCCTCCTGAGTTACAGAGCACTGGAAGAGCGGCATGGAGAGCCCTGCCTGCCTGCACAGCAATGGAAAACCCAAGTTACATCAATGTTGCATTGCCCCCTAGAGGCCTTTTACACGTTAAGGAACAAAAACGTGAACCACAGTGTTATACGCACATTTGGGGAGTTTAACGCCTTTTGCCGCCATTTGTTATCAAAGTATACGACGAGGCTTTGTGTGTTTACAGTATAAGCAGTGACGTGTCAGACAACCGAGGCAAAAATCGGTGATAGCAGCTGTGTGTGCTCCTAAGGCAGGCACCCAGGGTTGCTGCTCCAGTGTGGTCCGTGCTGGAGAACATCGTTGTCATCCAAGCTGACAAGGAAAGGGAGAAGGTGAAACAGATGGAGAAAAGGTGAAACGCTTCCCAAAGACCAGTCTGCCAGCAGTGGGAGAACTGCTTCTTCCCAGTTTCTCTGTGCCACCAGAAGCAAGATATTTGGATGCTGTAATGTTTAGCTGATGGGATTGATGTGGCGTTCCACTTGATTCAGATGACCTGCTATGCCTTATGAATTATATTATAAAATAACTTGTTTGCTAAGGTGTCTTTACGCTCATTTAATTCTTCATGAGGGGAAAATTACATTGCCCAAATGCAATGGAAATCTTCCTTTTGATGCATAGCTATTGCCACAATAATGACTAACAGTAATAATCAGCTTTTGTCTTTCTTGCCAAAAGAATAAAGTAATAGAAGCTAGGGAAGACCTGTGAGTCATCGCTTGGACTTTCCCTCTCCACCCCAGAGTGACAGGCTCACAATCTGTCTTCACTTCCTTAAAGCCCAGCTATTTTTGCAGACTCACAACTATGAGCCATTATCCAAAATGGACCATCATATCAGCATTACAGAATGCAAATAAAAGTCATTGAGAATTGCATCTCTCTTCAGTTGTAGCTCTGCTTTCCTGTTTTGATTATAAGCTCAGAACTGCCGAATCTCACGCACGAAGTATAAGACTCACTCATCTCGTGTCTGCCTCACACTCCATCACTGTGCTAGTAATTTAGCATTTGCATCTGGTCTCCCCATGACACGGTGAGTGGGGCCATGAAGGATGAGGTGAGTGCTGCAGCACCACTGCACTTAAGGGCAGTTTGCTAAAGGCAGCTGATGGCCAGAAGCTGCTCTGTCCATCATATGTCTTAAGTGAAGCAGCAGGGAGCATGCTATTGCATGACTCGACATAACACCTCTTTTAAGGCAGGATTCTAGAGTGTTGAGAGACCTACAACCTGCCTAGAAAGAGACTGGGTTTCCATTATGACCTGTACAACAATGAATACAGACCAGGTCTAGCAAAGCACTGTGGAAGAGATCTCTGTGGGTGAAGGGTCTTCCCTGCAGAACAATAAATGGGTGGGATGTAATCTCAGGTAGGGTACAGGGTGACAGGGCTCCTCCAAAACACTCCAGCAAAACCTCTCTCCTAGGCTTCTGCTGTGCGGGCATAATAAGTACATATACCGCACTCTGTTGGGATGCTGCATCTGCCTGCCTTATGGCATGATTGACTTAATTCCATCCTACAGCTCATGGGTTCCCTTTCCACATTTCTAAGCCACACATTAAATCCTTTTAATCTTTCTGGATAACTTATTCAGTCCTGTCTCTTCATCAGTCTTTGTTCTTCCTTAAATTTCCCTGTTTGTATTCTCCACCTCATGTTTTTTATCTTCCACTTTTATCTTGTTCTCCATCCTGTTCTACCTCATAGTACTGTCCCACATACTTAAGCTGATCTATGGCCTTTGAAGTAACAGGCCACAAATATTATAGCTTGTGTATATCATCTCCATTTATGTCTGTTTCAGTGTTTCTTTCTACATTTGCAATAACCTTTATCTAATGAAGGTTAAACCTTCTGAATTCTTTCCAGATCTTTCTGTCCCATTTATTCTTCTGGGCATTGCTGAATTTGTTTGTTGTTTTTTCTACTTCTAGTTTTTTTCTGATAATCCATTTGGATAGTCAGTGTTTCCAATATTTAGTAATCTGAAACAATTTCTAAATTCTATTCTTATTTCAACCCAAATTTCAGTCTAAGATTTCAGCACTGCTTGTGCATACATTGAAAGCGGAGAGCCCTTCTCCTTCTGTCACCATAGAATCTGACTAGTTTCAGTGAGGAATTGGCTGTGGCTGATTCAAACCTTGGCTTGCTTTTCATTAGTTCCTCTTGCTTTATCAGTGCCAGGCAGTATATATCTTTTGAGAGTAGCTGATCTCTGTTGACTAATAATTTTTTAACATGCTATATTTTAGGCTGGTTTTTGATATCAGATTTGATCTTGCTATATACTCTTTTCCTTCAGCACCTTCCTAATAACACACACCCTGATTCTTCAAACATTCCCTTTCCTTTTTATCTATTGTGTTATTCATCACTGCTGTTATTTCTCCCTTGTTTGGTAGTTTGGGTTGGTTGAAAGATCTTTTGACATCATTCATCTTTTGGGTGTGCTGACTTGGGACTTTGGTAAGGCAAGACACGCTGCTGACTTACACTTGGCTCCATGTTGTATTAAAAATATAAGCCTTGTTATTTTAAAGATGAGCGAGCACTCCTTGTTCTTTCAATAAAGCAAGTTAGGAGGGCTTTAATGTCATGACTGTACTGCTCAAAAGAAAATGAATGGCACTAGCAAATTGTGATTCCTCATTAATCCACTGGGCATGTGAAACAAGGATGAGAAAGGAGTAACACCCTTGCTTCAGCAATCAGCTGTTTTCCTTCACATGGGTTCAGTGGTCTGTTTCCTCCTTGAGATGACTGGTGTGGGTGTCGGTCCTCAGCTAAGGAAAAGGTGGTTTTGTGCAGTGAATGTGTGTCCCTTCCAAAGTAGCCTGAGATTGTTTATTTATTTCACTTGTAAAAGAGTTAAATTACTACACGATCTCCAGGGTGCAGGAATTATCATGATCTTATTTGATGTGACCTGCACAGGTTTATCAAAAACTGATAGCACTCTTCATACTGAGATCTGTTACTTATTTTCCCTGCTAATGCAATGCAAAGACTAAGGAGGAGCTCAGTGTCATCAGCCCAGATCGGTAGCTGCTGCAAGCACTGCTTGAAGAGGAATGCTCAGAGTCATGACTTTTCGAGACATGCAGCAAACTCATCTTTCCTGGATTAGAGGCAGTCTTCATGCAAAGATTTCCAAGTGAAATGCTTTGGGGTTTGTTACATAGACAGTGAGACCAGCGACCACACCAGACCCTTTTGATCTTAAATGTTTCTAAATCTGCACTCAGAGCTTTGTTGGAACAGACCAATAAATGTTAAGGAACTTCTAGAGGATAAATTATTTTTCTTCTTTATTTAGAAGTGGAAACTCTGAAAGATTTTCTAAACAAATGGTCCTTAACATGCCAGGAAGATGCCTGCTTAAGTAGCTGGAAGAATGTTTTCAGTAAACAACTTGGTGCTTGTCTAATAGTAACTTTGCATGTAAGCTCAGTATTAATTTTCTGGAGTGGTAGCTCATCTTTATCACTTAGCTTCAGCATTCCAAAAAGAAATTTTTTCCATAATCTGTCAAAAGATTTGCTGGGCCATTATGACTTTAAATGGCTATTAAGAAATGAACAACCAAGATTTAGGTCAATGAAATCTATGCTAAAGATAAGAATTTCGGGTTATGATCTACATTAATTGCTGGATTTTGTTTTCTGACTATAAACAAGGACCCAGTTCTCCTTACAACTATTTCCATGACATGCAAGTGATTCACAGTGCAAAACTGTAGTAGAGAGAGGAAATTATTTTAGCCTTATAAATTTGCAACATCACATTCAGAAATACGAAAATAGCTTCATTGAAACGTTTGCATGAGTACTGTTACACTGGTATTTGGAAATTACAAAGTGAGTGGAGGCTTAACTAATACCTACCTGGTAATCTACCAAATGCATGGGATGGGTCAATCCTACCACAGCATTTAAGATTTTATCTGATCATTTTGTCATACAACTATTTTTTTTTTAAAAAAAAGGCAACCAAAAGAACCAAAGGGGTTTTTTCCTCTCTAATCCCCTCCTATTTATCCTCATCCCTCAAAAGCTGTGTGTGACATGCAGTATCCCTTTACCCAGAAAGCGACACGTCTTTAGAAGCACTGCCTCTCACGACAGTGTGGAGCAGTGGTGTTTCCACAAGAAGCAATGTCTCTGTACCTGAGCAGTCTTTTTAGCATAGAAATACTCTCTCATTACTGCAGCTTTAATTTCTGGAAATAGGCCAAAATATTATCTAATGTAGCACAAGACCTGCACAATACTATTTGTGGTAATACTATGCAGAGGTCACCTTTGCCATCCTTCGATCAAGTATTGAAGGGAAATGGGATTGTTATTGCTCTGGCTGCCCAAGGGTGTCCTCTGGAATCTTAACTGGATGATGAGAAGACGTGCATCTCCTACATTGCCAGTGAACTAAAGAAATACTTGACAGACCCTTCATTTGTATAAAATGTGAGCCTTTTTAACAGCCACTGAATTGGCTGAGAGATTATTGCACTTTACTACATAATCAAAAAAGAGACAACTTAGCAATCAGTATCTGGCACCCAGAATTTAGAACTGCAGTCTGGATAAGATTTTTTCACTTTCTAAAACTTTATAGAGAACAATGATATTGTCATAAATAGGAAAATGCTTAAATATCTGAGTGGAGAAAGGTTTAAGGCCCTGCAGGAGTGCTTTTCTGATTCTGGGACAGAGATTTTGCTTCAACAATTTACCTGGCTGTGACAGCTCAAGTGCACGAGGGCGGAACAGAGTCATTGCGCCGCAGCTGTGTCAGCTCCTCAGTGCTATCAGGCATAAACCTTGTTCCTTCCAGTAAAGTAAGTGTCAGAGAACAGTCGCAGTAAACTCGTTTTATGTGAGCATTTTTTGGTACGTTAATCTTTCAGTTTTCTGTAACTCATGCCTATCATGTGTTCATAAATGGGTTTATGCCCCTGTATACATTTATAAAGTCATTCTTCACCGTTGCATCTGAATACATCCCCTATAATGGCAAGTAAGACAGCAAATACCTTCTGTTCTGTTTTACCTCTTTCTGACTGAGAAGAAACAAACCTTTTATCTTCATCTCATGTATTATTACTAGTGAATTTCTAAAGTATACACGTAAGATTCTAGACTCTGCTGTACTGCACACAACTTCCAGAAATGGTAAAAGATTTAGTATCTCCTTTGTCTGAGGCTTCAAAGAGTGTGTGCTTCTGCTTTCCTTATAGAAGTAAAGACCCTGGGAACAAATTCTAAATCAGATTTTTAATGTAATTAGTAACAAAAGAGTAGCAAAGTAACTTTGAAGGAAATTATACTAATATTATTAATCTAGTAGCTGACTTTGTTTGATCTCAATCTCTTTTTCTACAAGTCTTTTTTCTGATATCCAGTAACATTAAAATATTCATATAGTATTTTCAGAACCCTAATAAGTTCCATTTATTTTTCCATATTAAAAAAAAATAAATATACTACTGTTGAAATGTAACTGATCATTGTAACGGTTTAACGTGATTGTACAAAGAAAGCAAATCAAGCCTGTAAAATTTCATGAAGAATAGGTTATTATGTAAATAGCCTGCCAGGAAGAAGACCTGGAAAATTGAGTAATTTGTAGTTCTGAGGAATAAGCAACCTTTCACCTGAAAGATTTTACTGAAACGGTGATATATATACAGGAATCAAAAGTATCTGGATGCACAAAGGTGCAGTATAGTAAAGGACAATGCTCAAGTGGAGAAAGATAATCTGCAAAAATGACACCATGATGTTCTGTAATTGCCTTTCACTGGCAATTTATCAGTTATATTGACTAAAAAGCCTTGTAAGCTCAACTTAGGTTGTAAAAGAGAAGTACTTCCATTTCATGCAACATGATGATTGACAACATTAAGACCAAATTACTTTTGGATGCATCTGCATAACTCTACAGCCTGCAGTGATATAGCACTGTTTTATCTGGCTACATAATTCAGGGTGGTTTTGTTTACAAAATAGCCCTGTGGATTTCATGATCTCATGATGCATCTTTCTTCTTGGGCTCTCTCTGCAGAGTAAATGGAATAAAATATACCAAAAAACTTGGTTTGACAGTAAAACCAGCAAAATCATTCTGAAAGCACCAGGAAAAAAAAACCCAAAAAACAAAAACAAAACCCAAACTATTCAACTGAATTTGGTGTGAAAATTGCAGTATTATTTTGCAGAACTAGACGAGTCATTTCACAAACTAGTATGCTCTACTTTCATCTAATTCTAGTTCTGTCCTCAGAAATGTCTTGGGAAAAGAGAAAGAAACAGCAAAAATTTTCCTTTCAGTTTTGCAGTCAAAATTCTAGTTTCCTTCCCATAAGACTATCTGTAATTAGCTTTGAGTCCTATTTTTTTTTAAGGGTGCTTTTAATGATAAAGATCTGCAGAGCATAGGAGATGCCACACACGATTTTAGTTTGCTCCTCTGATAATGTGCAGATTGACACAGCTTGTTTTGTGTCTATTTTATCCCCAGGGTCAGCGGACTTTCTCCTTTCATGGGAGACAATGACAATGAAACCCTAGCCAATGTTACCTCAGCAACATGGGACTTCGATGATGAGGCTTTTGATGAAATCTCTGATGATGCCAAGGACTTTATCAGCAATCTACTAAAGAAAGATATGAAGTAAAGCTGTTGGACTTGATACACTTTCTGTGTTTGCATTTAGCTGAACTTGTCATTCTTGTTTCCCCACTGTGAATCTCCACCTCCATGGGGGCACCTCTGACAATACTTTATAAGGAGCTCTGTGTGCCGTGCAGCTCTGGTTTATTTTATGAGCAGGGTGTAGGGTCTGAATGGAGTGCTTTCTTTTAATCACCTTCTCATTCTGCTTTTTCTTTCCCTTGGGCAAGATGCACCCTGAGGTTTTGTGTGGCTACTCTTTATCTTCACAGTTGTGTGACACATATTCCTGCATGACATGTTGTGCCTTGATCTGAATGGGTTGCAATTTTGCCAGATTTATTTCCATGTGTTCCTTTTAAATTCAGTACCTCTGAGTAGGCAGCTTTCCTGTAAATCTACTAATGGGGCACGGAAAAGAAAAAAAAAAAACAAACAAAACAGAGTTGGAAGCCCGGGTTATATCAGACTGAACAAACCAAGGAAGGAAAACTTAATTCTTCCAATGAGTTTGCCATCGGATGGAGAACAGAGGGTTATTTATCTGTGTACCCTGAACACAGTGAAGAATGTGTGTGGCTTGATTAGAGATTTGCACTGTTTTGTTAAATATTCAGTGCTGCAGGGAAGAAGGGTGTTAAGTGGTGGGAAAAGGGAAATCTCTGTAAGTGAAGAAAAGGAGATCAGGAACAGGGTTCTGCCAGCATGAGGTAGCTGAATCATTGCCATTGTGGCTCTGCTGTATGCATTCCATGCCTAAAACATATGGCTTTTCCTGCTTTGTTTTATAATGTTTTATTAACACTTAAAAATGCACAGTTTCCTCTCAAAAAAAAACCCTACAGAAATTGTGAAAATGAGTTTAAGAAGTAAGCATGGCTGGGAAAGCAGTGCCATGTGATCTATGTTGCTGAATTTAGGAAACAGAAAAATCATCTCAGAAAAGAAAGCATAAAATAATATTAAAGCAGGTAGGTTCAACTGTGTTTAATGGCAACACTGACTAGTCTTTTTATATAAAAACAGGAGTCGCTTAAATTGTACTCAATGTCTTCAGCATCCTTGGCTGCAAAAAGACACCAAAACCATGGAAGCCAAAAAACTTTCCAAAGATAGGATGAAGAAATATATGGCCAGAAGAAAATGGCAGGTAATGAAGAGAACACAGAATTGGGCTAGTTATCCTAATAAGTCTCTTTATTGCTAATGTTTATGATTCTGAGAAATGTGTCAAGCCATGTGGTTTCTGCAGCTGGTGAAAACTCCAGTGTGGCCAAAGTATGAATGCAGTAAAGCAGGTTTGGTTTCGACTGGTGAGCAGTAGGAGGGCGCATGGCTGCATATATATTAACACATGATGATTCCATTTCAGGCTACTAAAAGGCGCATGAGTTCAAGTACAGTTTTCCTATTCTTTTTGGGGGGTGACCATCTCTCCTCCCTGCCTTCTCCATGCCACAGAGGGCTGGGGCATTATGTTATCCTTAATAAACCTGAACAGCTAGGGAGAAGCTTCTCTGCCTGGCCTCTCGAAAAATACCTCATTTTTGGTAGTTTTATTCTCCTAAGCCAGCAGTTCTGTCCTATTGGAGCACCAAGCTTGTCATGGATTTGGTCAGATTGGCTTAAAAATTTTCTTTGATGTATTTGGTCTCCATATCTTCTTTTTTCTTAATGCTGGAACTGTTGTAGCAGGTCCATCTGTGCTGTTCTGATAGCTGGGGGAGTTGATGTATAAAATCCTGGATCCAGACTTTTGAGTAACCTACAAAATATTCATTTATGTAAATCTACCTTATATTTCCTCTTACATTCTACTGTACGTGTTTCTGAGGAGCTCATGCAAGCTGTACAAAAATGCAAGTGTCCATACTAGAGGCAACATAGTCTGAGTATATTTTAGTATCCTGGTGGTTGATTCTTGAGCTTGTCAGAGGTCTGCTTCCACCATGCAGACGGTACTTTCTCATTCATTTCATATTAGGTGGTTATTTATCCTTGATGAAACTCAGTCCAGCCCATATGTCTATTGAGAGAGCTGTCCACCACCAGAGTTAAGTTCCAGTTAAACAGGACATAGCTTTTTCGCTGGCCCTCCTCTCACACAGTGCTTTTTATCCGCAGCTAACAGAGACATTCATTTAGGTATGAGTTCATCACGGGAAGTTTATATCTGCAACTAAATTTGGTAATTCAGTCCAGCCTGCTCTGTCTCTCCTAAAACAACAGAGCTATATATAAGCAGTTTGTCCAACAATTCCAGTGAGGTTTGCAGAGATCCCAGATAATTTGTCCGAAGCACGATTGTTACAGAAAATCACATGCCTGTTGGATTGGATTGATCAGAAGCCTTTTATGTTATGTCTTAGAAAACAGGCCATGCTGTCCGAGCAATAGGAAGACTGTCGTCCATGGCAATGATTTCTGGTATGAGTGGGAGGAAGGCCTCTGGGAGCTCGCCTACCAGCCCTATAAATGCAGACAAAGTAGAGAATGAAGGTAAGGAATTTTGCTGCACCGTATTTTCACCCCTCTCTGAATCAATCTAACTAAAACTTTTAGCAAAATGCTAGAGACCAATCACTGAGTTGGTTATTCCTGCTCTCTCTCTTTTTATCTTCTTTTTAAAAAAGGAATCTATCAAAATTCATTGTTCTCATATTGTTCTGCTACTCAAAATGCTACTCAAAAAGCATAAATATGGGCAGTAAACTCTTCTCTTTTTAAAGCCAAAAAAATAAAGCAGATTTGTCAGCTGCACTTTCTATCAGTTTGGGAATGCATGTTTATACAAAGATTACAGTGATGTATTGCCTTCTCATGCAAGCAAGCAAGCAATAAAGCATTAACACTTGCTGTAACCAAGACATGTACGCTGCATTAACCATGCTCCTCAGACAGGGGCATTTAAGAAAAAAAAAAAAAAGTGTCCACATTATTCCCCTATGTCCCCATTTGAAATGTGGATTTGTGGTGTGTGACAATCAGAGGTGCAGATGTTTGACACTTCTGAAAATCAAGTCATTTTGACATATCTACACAGACTGTGGGCCTGACACAAGTTGAACCGGTTTACCCCTCTGACCAGCAAAAGTCCAGGTTTGGTTAGAAACAAATTCAAGGGGAAAATAAAGATGATTTGTAGCATGGTGGCCTGCATGTTGATTTCATTCTATTTATGGCCTGAATCTTTGTCCAGCTGCAAAAGATTGGCACATAACTAAGCAGCTAACATCCTCCCTTTCCCATTAGCCTTACAGAATTAAGTGAAATAAAAGATGCTTTCATTACCATCTGGTAATTAAAAATTAAAATGCATCATTTAAGAACATGGCCTGTAAAATAATTAACTATCTCTTCGCTCTCCTTCAGATGCTTTCCTTGAAGAAGTGGCTGAAGAAAAGCCCCATGTAAAGCCATATTTTACTAAAACAATCCTTGACATAGAGGTTGTGGAAGGAAGTGCTGCTAGATTTGACTGCAAAATTGAAGGTACTTTGAATTAGCATATCTCTTTCTTTCTCTCCTTCCTTGCCAGTTTTCTACATTGTGCTGTTGTTTAACTTTTCAATTTATTTTCTGTAATGTTGTTAACTTGGTGTCATTTTGCTTTACCAATATCTGCATGTCACAGCATGAATATGTTGCAATAACAGAAATTCTCTGGAGCTGCATGGGCTTGTTCTGTGCTTGCCATAGAACAGGAGACTCCAAGAGTCAGTGTGTGAATCACTAATTCAGAATAGCAAGTGGGAACAGTGAGATGATTTTTGAGGCTAGAAACACTAAAAACAAGATGCAATGTATTACCGTAAATTGCAAGAGTACACTCTTAGAGACTGCTAACCAGAAACCAAGAATAAGTGGGAAGTCACTTGTCTGAAATAACAGACAAGTTTCAGGTGACCTCAAGATAACTTTAAGCCATGCATACATTGTATTAATGGCAAAGTAGTCCCTAACAGTGTATTTGCATGAGAACTAATGATAGTATCATTGTGCTGGTTACAAAAGTCACATCTAGAAAAAAACGTAGTGTTTGGGGTTTTTAACTTACGAGTTCAAGAAAGAAAACTCAGACTGCAATATGCAGATAGAAAGAATAAGTTTATGAAAAGGCACTTAAGGAGCTTGGGCTTGGTCAAGCTAACAGTCTGAAGGCCAAGACCGCTAGCACTTCTACTGCAAAGAGATTGAAGGTTCTGTATCACAGTCAATGAAAACTAGAAATCAGGGAGAGCTGTTAAAACAAAATGGATAGAGGCGGTACCATACTGCATGTGTTCAATTTAGACAATTTCTAATCTTAAAATGAGGTTCAGAAACTGCTTCACTGACCTTCTGCTTATTTGTTTCTGTGCTCCTAATCTCTTCCACTGCCTGTGTTTCCCACCTCACAGCGGAGATGTGAGGATGGATTATTGCTGCTGATGGGTGCTCAGCATGAGGGGTATGTGCATAAGTACTGCATGGAATAAAATGGATGTACCACAGCTGATGTTCCAAACTTCCCAGTGTGTCGCCATAATGTTCTTTGGGTATTAGGGATTCCTGCACTTTATTTCTGCTCAGTGGGAAGTGATCCTCCCATCACAGTCCAGAGTTTGGCTGAGACAACAAGCCTTCAATTTGTTGTAGCAGCCAAGAGTACTGTATAAGGGATTGTTCTCCAGCATGTATTGTACACCCTGATCTCAATGCTTCTAGTGTGGCGGAGACATTTGCTTCACAAAAGGTTCCAAAACTCCTGTTGAGATGCATAATCAAAATGCTTTTCTTAGACTCCCTCATCCTAACAAACACAAATAGGAAATGTGAGTGCCACAGTCACCATACAGGACAAGCTGGTGTGTAAGGAGCAGATTAGGAGGAGGAAGGTTCAGGATAGCCTCAACAAAGCAACCTGAGAAGGATATTAAATTGTAGTTGTAGTCCCAAACATCTTACCCTTGAAATTCTAAATCGTGGTTGTTGGGAACTGTGGTTTCCACAAAAGCTGCAACGCAAGGTATCTAGGAATCTAGTGAATACCTCAGTGATCACTTTCAGTTTTTTGCTATTCATAGTAAAGTTGTTTCTGGTAAATGCAAAATAAAAAAGCCTCACATTATCCATCTTTATTTTAAAGAGAATTCAATGACATTTTTGTATATTGTATATTGGCATGTCCATACAGACAGGGAATTAGAACTTAAAGTAATTAATACTCATTCACTGCAATTGCTGTTCTCTCTCCACTATTGCAGGCTATCCTGACCCTGAGGTAATGTGGTACAAAGATGATCAGCCTGTCAAGGAGTCCCGTCACTTCCAGATAGATTATGATGAGGATGGGAACTGTTCTTTGACTATTTCTGAAGTATGTGGGGACGATGATGCCAAATACACCTGCAAAGCTGTTAACAGCCTTGGGGAAGCTACGTGCACCGCAGAACTCCTTGTGGAAACAATGGGAAAAGAAGGAGAAGATGAAGATGAGGAGGAAGAAGAATGAAAGAAGGCTCAAAGGAAAAAAAAAAAATATTTAAAGACTCTCCTTATAAGGCTCAGAAAACCAAGTTATCAAAAGCACCTTGTGTGATACATAGGTCTTCAGGGGGTTGGTTTTTCAGCATGATCAGTTGATACCTGTTTGCTTTATTTGTGGGCATTAATTCAAATCAGCAGGCAATTTTAAGTTGCTAGCATGATTGGATTTACTTTAAACAAGTCATTAACTAAGTTGCCCAGTCTATTTTTAAAGTCAAATATATGGAAAACAAGTCTACAGTTTTATATTCTGAATGTCTTAAGGAAAACCAGTCTATTTATTGAGCTCATTGCTCTGTACCATCACTTTCCTCAGCCAAAACTGCAGCTAAGTTAGGTCCCCAAGATCTACAAGGAATTGTTTGCCAGACACACAGTGAGTATCTCCAGTCCTAAGAAACAGGCTGCTCCCTGAGCAGTATCTTCTATAAGGGAAGGTCTGATACAGTCAGCATTCCAATTTGCATGTTGGTATTTTTCATTTGTTTTAAACAGAATTTCACAGTCCTAACTTCAAACACGTCTAGTGCCCGTTCTCAGTGTGCTGTTAGTGCCACTGTAATGCTGGCTAAAGTTAAACATCCAGGTTGTTTCCCCAGACACTTCTGATATTGCTTCTAACCAGCTGATCACACCTTGTCACCTTTCCCTTATAGAACCTGTCACTTCAGTGCAGTTACAGCTGCCTACTTAAGAAAAAGACTGAAAACACAAAGGCTGAGAATAGTTACTGTTGTTCTGGTCAGTCTAATAATGACCTATGATTCATATACATGCTGCTGTGAAAAATCAGGTTATTGCACAGTGACTTCTATGTGCATGTGTGTGAATGGAATCCCAGGTTAGTTAAAGTTTTACCTGCATCTATTTGGCAACTGCAAAACAGATTTCAACTGATGATAAGCTGGAAACTCCCACAGAATTTTGGAGTAGCAAAAAGATAGTAGCCTGGATTACAAATTCCTTTATACTTAGCAGTTTCCAAAGAATCTTAACCTATATAGGACCTATTTCTACCTTATGAGCTTTACTGTCTTGTTTTTGTCTTGAACCTGCACCAGTAAGGCTGGTTTGTTGGGTTTTGCTTTTTTTTTTTTTTTTTTTCCTAAATGCAGAAAACCAAACCAAACCAAAAAAATCCAAACCCCAGGTTTTTTCTCAGAAATGGTTAATGCACTCAATAACTTTGCTTTCCTTTCACAGTATTGGCACTTTTTAATTTTTGTTGTTGTTGTTCAGAGGTAGTATCAGACTGCAAGGTGATATGCATAATCCAAAACCAGTGTGTCTTACATCTGTGTATCATTCCAAAAGTGATTTTCTTTTCTTTTCCATCTGTTGTGTGCAAAGTGCAACGATTTGCATTTCAAAGATTACCTCTTTTAAAAAACCATTACCTTAAATTCGCACCATTAAGTAGTCAGTGTACTTTAATACAGGTGTGTACGATATCAGCCTTAGGTTGTTTGATATTACTTAGTTGTGTATGTGTTTCATATGATTTGCTCTTCTACATTCAAAGCTCAACTAATGTGGATGACACAATGGTTTTTAACTGCTTTACTCTTTGTTGCTAAGTTCAGATTGCCAGCATGTCTTTTCCTTTTCAATTGATAAAAACCTGTTATACTAAACACAGTATTGCCACAGTTCCTTATACAGAAAGGTTTGGAGTCTGATTTAGAGCATACAGTGCTTTTCTCACGTTTTTAAAAATGTTTTAGGCAACAACGGGGTGTATTTTGTACCTTAATAAATATATGCTAATGTTCTCCCAGTTTGTTAAACCATCAGAATTGCAAAGATGAGAACGCTACGGCTGTAGTTACTCACAGTTCCTAAATAAATAATACCACAAAGCATGCTCCGTGTATACTCTGTTTCAGGCGTCACTGCGTCCACATTGGCTAAGCGTGTCAGTAGCAGGATCTTCTGCTGGGCACGCAGGTGGGTGAAGATGAGGTGGCAGCAGTGAAACGTCCCTGACCTCTGTGGTGCTGCAACACTTGTCCTGCCCAGCCAGCGCAGGCTTGTGCGGTGCAGAGGCTGCGCTGCCCCAACACCTCCAGCCTCATCGTGTCCTTCACAATGAGCAGGAGTGTAAATGTGGCTGGGGCACCATAACAGCTCCCTTTTTCTGTTACAGTTGAGAATTCCCTTGCAATAGGGAAATATGTAGTTCAGAAAGACCGTAAGAGCAAGAGAGAAAGAATTCAGGGGAGTCTTAACTGTAGATCCGTACTTAGACCAATGTTCCTAAAAACTGTAAAGATGAAGATATTTATCAAATATTCTTGTGCTGCCTTTAAGCATACTTCTTCTAACATGCAGTCCAAGACACCGTAGACCACGCAGGACCATGCAGAAACTCCCTAAAACAAAGACTGTGAGACATCCTGCTTGTAACAACATGTTTCTTGAGCAAACCTTCAGCCCTCGAAGCAGTCACCTTCACAACATGTGGTCTACTGTCTTACGCAACTTTATTCATTGACTGCTGGTTCCCGTTCAGGTAGGCACATGTAGAAAGCGGTAAAAGGTCCAGCTCTGATGGCCTGCTCTGTGGGTGCTGGGTATCAAAACCCACAGACACGACATTGGTGTTCCTGCACAGATTCTCCCTTCCTGCCCCTCCTTTACTAGTCCTTCTGTGTCCCACAGGCTACAAACTGCCTATTTTTCTTTTTCCCCAAGGATATAACTAACTTACCATCCCCCTGTTGCCACCTAGTAAGCTTCTGGTCTGCAGGAAACAATGACCTCCTCTTCAAAAATTATGTGATACGTATGTAATTCAACTCAGATCAGTTGACTCCAACCTGTATTTGACCTTGAATTTTTTGTTTTGTTTGAAGAATACAATTCTATTTCCACTGAAGAGGGGTATTTTATGTACTTGAAATCCTGTCTCATTTTGCCAGCCATCATAAAGGGTGTAATAAAAGGTATTACCTCATCCTATAGACCTTGTCTTGCTTGTATAATGTTTGCAGAAAGCCACTCATGGGCTGTGGTAGGGTTGAAACAGTCTTCAAAAGCAGAGGTTATTGAGGGCATTGGTACTGTCCAAGATGGACATTTCTTTTGTATAAAATTCAGTCTTCTCAAGAGACATGGAAAATTTGGGACTGGGTGCTGTTTTTCACTACTCGGGTTTCTGGATTTGCAGAAACTTATATTTACTAAGATACAAGCCTTCCCAACCACACAAGCATCCTGCACATATTTCTGGTTGATGAAGAGACCTTTGCTAACTGCATGTGTGGCATACAACAACATCTGTATCATTTTTTCTTTGTTCACAAGGAAGACAGCACAGAACTTCATAGCTGTCTCCTCTGTAGTGAATATCAGGCCTTGAAAATGTAGAAAATTTCTTTTGTTGCATACATGAATAATGCATGATGTGTTTCTCTAAATTTTCTTGGAATATTTATTGGAACACTGCACTAAAATATTGCTGTTTGAAAACATTTTGCTAAGTCATCTTTGAATTTTGAACCCTATTGACTGCAAGAGATGTGCACGTAATGCCATTAATTTATTAGGTCACACAAGTACATGAAAGCAGGACTGGTTGACACGGGGAGGGAGACTTGTTCTGTTATTCTGCACTGCTCATAAAGGAACTGCACTGTAACCAGCATGAAAAATAAACAAAGAATTATTTCTGGAGAATAACAGAGAGGTAACTCCACAGAATATTTACAATTTCGGGTGTGCGTGTGTGTGTGGAAAAAAACATCCTTTCGTTGTAACTCTTCGGCAAGGTAGTTCAATCTCCCCTAACGAGGATGCTTGAATTTGCGCTGCTATGAAAGTAATGCTATCCAGGCTTCTGCTGTTGTATAAAAACTTCAGAGAATGAGTTACCCCCGGCCCCAAGGAGCCAAGTGGAGCGGCACAAGGGCACGTTCTCTGGGAACTGCTGTGTTCTGTAGTTGACACCTTAATTTGCTCTGCAACTATTTTCTCATCCAGGTGATGGTGTAGATCGGTGTTCTCACCACGTCTGTGGTGTGGACTCTGGCACTTTTCAGTAGAGAGGTGAACCTAAACACAGGGAATTTATCCCTTGCGGTGGTGAAGAAGGCAAAGCTGTTATCCCTTAGAGCCCCGGGAGGTTTCCCTGTAAACCCTTCAGCTGCTGCGTACTTGGGGTGAAGTTGAAAGCTGCTGCTTGTGCCATGTGAGCTGCTAGGCCTGCCTGATGCTCTGCTCTTGCCCTGTGTAGCAGGATGGAGTTCCTGGGCTGGTTGGTGTGTGCTTGGGTTTGTTCTTAGGTGCTATAATAAAAATAGCAACAGCTGGGGTCTCAACATGAAAGAGACTTTTTTTCTTGTTTCTTTTTTCTCTAAGAGACTGTAGTCCTGTTGGAATCCAGATAAAAATAAACCCATCTTTTGAAAGATTGAGGCTATTTGGGTGGGAGGGGGAAAAAAAGCCTTTAAAATGGATCCTGAATGAGCCTGTTTTCCACTAGATAAATCCTTGGCGGGTGAGGAGTCAGGCAAACAGACTAGTAGCGCTCTTTGGGGGGAAGATTAGTATAGAATTAATATAGATATGATTTATTTCAATAAGGTAATTGGACAAGATAATTCTTGTCTTTGCTGGTGACAGCTGGTGCTATTTCATCTCATAAGATAGTTACACTTATGTGGAGCAAAGGTATCTGGCAGGGGAGAGCTGTTTTTGTAAGGTGCTTGTTACACCCATTACCCCATAGGTGTGTTACTGTGAAATGGAACTGCTAAGCAGATTTATGGCTCCACAGGATATTTGCAGGGTATCTCACTCAGAGGGGAATGATAATTATGCACCAATTTGATAAAAATAAGTCTCTTCATTTCAGAAATATGTAATCACATGAGCAATACAACAGAACAGGTAGTCAGGAGGTCTCCAGATTTGTTGTGATGTCACTGCACATGGTTAAGAAGTTAACCTCTCTAAGCTCTTCTTAGAAGTAAAAGCATTTGCCTGCTCGGTGAGCTGCTCATAATTAATTCACTTATGTTTATAAAAGGTCTGAGAGAGAAAGTGTGGTATAAATTGAAAGTTTCTGTAAAGGTCCTGGACTTTTTATCATAGTAGATAAGTTCCTGAGCATATAAAATTTCTATTTCTGCAGAAGAAAAAAAAAAATTCAAGTGTTAGAAACTCAGCAATAAATAGCATAAATCTGCATTTAGCTTCCCATTGTCATATAAATCTTGATCATGATGTAAATCAGGAAGACAGGTAACACCAAACTTCCTAGAAAATTTCAGTCTTGGATTGGATGTGCCTTATGGTGCTTTAACACAAGCTGCTTTTTTTTTCTGGTCACGTTTGCAATTAGATGACTTCTGCAATTTGGAGAGCAACCACAGGAGTCCTGTGATCAGGGTTTGTAGCTCTGGTCACTCACTGCCATTCTGTTGGGATAGGTCACTGAGGGCTATGACTGATATTTTGTCTTCAAATTGATGATGATTTTGTGATTCCCCTGAATGCTGTTGGAATTCCACAATATACAATGTTGAGTTTAGGAAAAAACCTCAGTTATTGTCCTCTTTTTAGAAGACTTCATAATAAAGTAGTTTTTCAGGAGTTGGTTGGCAGAAGCTCAGCTCTTCCTATGAGAAGATTGATACGTAGCTGGTGGCAGTAATTAGTTACTGTCCTCCTGTCAATCAGAGTGCTCAGACTTGAAGCAAAGCATTGGAAGGAGAATTGTGAAAACACCAAAAATTTGAAGGCACCCAGATGATAAAGTGATGCTGTAAAAGCACACGGGATTTTTAAAAATTAAGTGGGTTTTCTGGTTTTGTTTTACAAAAAAGTGGCTTAAACTGAAGTACACCACAGCTTTGCTAGTAAATTTTTTAAATCATAGTTGCCTTAACTATTAGCTTTATTTAAAATGGATCAAGTAATAGTTGAAAAATATCAGCATAATTATTGTATTTACCTTGCATTTATCTTTACTTAGCTAAAGAATACATATTGATTCTGAAAAATAATAGATCTTACTACTATTTTTATCCCATAGTGCATGTAGGATATGGATTCCTAGTAATACAATGTCTTTTGCAAGAGCAAAACAGTAGAAAAAATATATTGTATACAGAAAAAGTATATTTATACTTATATGTATATACACCATTTGGTTCATATGTTTTGGGTGCTTTCTTTCAGAAAAGGGACCAACATGATGCAACAGGGAATAACCAGTCCTGCAGCTGGTTGTCAGCTCTACTTGCTCAGGTTTTTCTGACCGTGGTTCAAAGCGTTAAGCTGTAGAAAGAATGCATCTTTTTTTTTGCATTCAGTCAAGCTATTATTTTCCTGTCACAGCGTGAAGTCATGTAGTCATGCCTGACCTGGCATAGGAAGCTCATTCTGGAGGCATAGATGCAGCATATAAATTATTTCCAAAAAAACGTGGTTGACTGAAATTACTGAAGAATGGGGGGGTGAGGAGGAAGGTCATGCTGTTAGTCGAATGTAAATGTTTGATAAGCTGCTTTAAAATGCGATTATGTTTCTTATTTTTAGTCAAGTACTGTAACTGACTAGTACTTCTGAGTAGAAGTAGCTGATGGTGGTATAAACAATTAATTTCAAAAATTTCATCAACTAGATAGATCTTAATGTAATAGCTTTTGAATTCTCAAGGATTCATGTTACCAGTGTTGAACAAAGTGTTCTGGGTTATGAGTTTCATTGTCCATGTCTTCAGTGACAGGTTGTTTTGAGTCAAAGCAAGCTTCTCCCTTTTCAGGCACAAATGATGCAGAACCTCAGTAAACTTTGAATAAGAAAACACCCTTTTATAATTTGTAGGAGAAAGGGAATTAAATTAAGGACCAGATCATGAAGCTTGCTTATCAAGTCTGAGCAGTTGACAGCAAAAATTTTAAATTGTGTGTATGCAGTATTCATTTTCCTTAGTTTGGATTCATCAGAGTATAAGAGTTCAGCTTTAAAGTTTAGATGCATGGCAGTGGTAAATTAATGAAATGTAGCTTCAGCTGGTATCACATAGACCCTATTGTCTGGGTCAGAGAAAGCTGGAAAAACTTGCAGCTTGGCTTCCATGTGACAGTGCTGCCTCTTGCTGCCCTTTTAAACTTCACACCAAGTTGATCTTGCCTGCTTTCACCTACTCCTGTTCCATTTTCTCTAGTCATAGAGGGTGAAAATTATTTAGTCACAGAAGCAGGACAGAGGTACTAAGACCTTCAACACAAACTGGGCACAGCTTTTAATTCTGTACAGATTAATACTTTGATCTATACTAAATGCTTTTTGAAGGACAGTAAATGGAATGGGAAGTACAGTCTTTCTGGAGTCAGTGATCTGGCCGGGAGGGTGGAGATGATCAAAGGGCTGGAGCTGCTCTGGGAGCCACGTGCTTCACCAGTCGCTCAGTTCAGGTGAGAAAGGTATCTTGTGCAACCTAGGAAATTGCTCAATTCAGCAAAGTTTCTCAGCAAGCACAGAAGATTAGGAAAAATAGAGAAACTTGACAGATATGAACAGGATAGTGTTAACTTGCTCTGATTTACTATTCTAAAGAAGCAGCAGTCAATGTTGCAAGGGAGAGTCATTAATACTATAGTGTTTATTCTACACTGAATTCCAAATAGAAAGTTAATCTGATTCTTTCTTTGTAAACAGCAATTACTTGGCAAATGTTTGTCTTTTGGTTTCACAAGACAGCTTTAACTGAAATAACTTGTCACTGCTGAAAAAAGGGGCTTGTTTCTCATTCTCCTTATCTCCTCCCCACTTCTGCTTTTCTTTGGTGTTTACTTATCTTTTCAGAAGTCCAGACAGAAATGAAATAGCTTTTTTTCAATTGCACTAACAAATGTTATGAACACAAACTTGGATCCCAGAGTTACTTACTGAAAAACCTGAACTTCGAAGTATATTTCAATCAATTACATTTGGGACAATATTTGTATGTACTTCGTAATACCTAAGCTAACGCAGTAAGCATCTAATATGCTGTAAATTAAGGGAATTCCTTCATCTTCCCTGTTACAGAACCACAGCTGCAGATTTTTTTTTTTTTCCCCCAAGGGTGAAAAGGTACTGATTGCACAGTTAGGGGATTTTCTACAGACATTTCTACTGAGGTGCACCATTGTTAGCAGAGATACTTGGTGACTGTGAGCACAAGCTTTGTAATGGCACTTCTGGGTTTGGAGGGAGGTGGAGGTAAAGTAGGGTGCCATTAGGAGTAGCTGAGGGCAAGGCAGCCAGAGTGGGCCTGTCAGTGGAAAAGTTTGGGAGCTACTAGTAAGGATTCCAACTTCTCATTGACCAACACCTTCTCCCCATGTTTGCCACATGCAATTGGAAACTAAAGTTAACTATAGATGCTAATTTCAAATGAAGAAGTGTTTGACCAGGGTGTAACCACCTTCGTTTTGTGTTTTGCCCTAGACTTCACTGAAGAATTTCTGAGGTTGTGGGCAAACACAGATGATGGGTGGCTGTGGTAGTGAAAGATGTTACTGCATCAGCCAGGGCTGCAGGAAATTTTAGGTTGCTTCCTAAATTACCTGAGGGGAAAATCAGCAGGGGTAACAGGTCATGTTGGTTATAGTATAATTGCGGTTATATAGGCACTATTTACAGGCCTACATATATTTGTTGCTTATAAAGGAAAGCTGGGACAGCAATGGCCTTTGCAGCCTTCAGGGCTTTAAGCAGTTTCCTTGCAGTTACTTATCCATAACGATTTCACATGAAATATATGCTAGCAATTAAGCTGGATGGTCTATCATAAAGTCTAAAGGTTTACTTTGAACTGAGACATTAAAATGAATGCCTTCTGAATCCTAATTCTTTGTCATACTACTTTAAGTTATGGTATGGTAGGAGATCTTTGACTAGCAGTAAATGCTTTTCTGCTTAAACTAAACAAAATGTGATGCTAATCTTATTTTATAAGTAAATTAAATACAGCTCACTGAAAAATAAACTTAGACATTAATGGTACTGGTATCAGGTTGGTGCTGAAAGATGTTTAAAAAATGCATAATCTTTAACATTGATAAATTTGCTGAGAATCCAGATATTTAACATTTTTAGTGTTGCAGAGGGTAGGAAAAAAGTATTTTTCAGGACAGTTATATGCCTGTTGCTGTCTGGGATATCTAAAGAGGGATTAAGGGTTTCTTTGTATTTATGCCCTGCTTGATGTCTCCTTATCTTAGATTTTTTTTCTCTCTTTCAGATGGCTTGTTATTGCAGTTGGTCTAGTTCGAGCATACCTGGCTAAAGGTAGCTACCATAGCCTTTATTATTCAATAGAAAAGCCCCTGAAATTCTTCCAAACTGGAGCTTTGCTTGAGGTAGGTATAGTTGTCTTCCCTAGTACAACTAATATTTGTGTGTTTTGTTTAGGAGAAATAAGGCAGCCTTTGTTGAACAGTGCTTTCTAGGTACCTGATTTTTCATTAGCATTTTTAGAGTGATTTGAAGGTAAATGTAAGAAATAAGCCTCTCACAAATGTTGGATTTTTATTCTAGCAAGTGGTGAGGGAGTTTACTGTCTGCTATTTAGCTTGGACAGCAGAGCTAAATTTTAAACTTAATCTTTGAAATACAAATATTGAATCTTAAGCTCTTGTGATAGAACTAAATGTTTCAGAATTGCTTCATTTGAAATGGTAGTGATTTGAATTTTTCTTTTTGTTCTAGATTCTGCACTGTGCATTTGGTAAGCTTGCAAATTTTCAGTTTTATTATTTTTATAGAAGACTGAAGTTTTAGCACTATATTAGCATGAAAAATGTTATGGTCTGTGAATTGCCAGATTTAATTTTTGCATAACAAACTAATTTTTGCTTGAAGTACATTCCAGTGTTTTACTAAATAATTTGACAAGTTAAATCACAACAAGGAAAACAGTGTCACAGGTTTTCAATTACTTGACATTGTGTTTCAATCTAGATTCTTCCAGTGCTACAAACCTTAGAGCAGTTTATAAATGTTGTATGGTAGATCGTTACTCTAAATCTCTACATCCTATAATCTTCTGTACCAAGCTGTCTTTCTTCAAAATATTTCTAGCTGGAAGTAATTTAAAATCCAATAAAAAAACCCACTTCAATCACTAGAACTTTGCCCACATCCATAGAGCATAGGTACATGTTGTAAAATTAGGAAGGGGTAACCACTCTTTAACCCCAATTCGGCTGTGCTTTAATGGAGCTGTTTGGGAGAGTAAGAATTACACAAAACCTAATTCTTGCTAGCCTGTACTGTGAGGCTTGTTTGTTAGCGTGATAGCAGGAGTTCAATTATGTATATACGTGGCCTAGTGTCAGTAGCAGTGTTGTGGTTCAGTCAACCTGAAGAGCCTCATGTCTGAGTGACAGGACTGCATCTTGTCTGGTTTGTTAGTTGTCATGAGTAGTGAACGTTTGGATGTTTTGTTCATAGAATAGATGATGTGTCGCAATCTCTGCAAGATCAAAGCCAATATGCTATAAAAGGGAGCAGTGCCTGTCTGCATAAATATGCTTAACAGATTTTTCTAAACAATCCAGTCTTCAAAGAGTCAGTCTTATGTCAGGTAGCTGATCTTGTAGTTTTAAATATAAGTGTTTGAACCCCTATCTGAATGTTTGCTAGCCACTTTTAAAGACTAAGATGGCATTGAGATTCCTAAAGCTGCAGCTACAAACTTGCTGTTTGCCACATGTTGTATAGTCTACATACTGGAGGGTGTATTAGATTGTAGGTTCATATTGGATTACTGTTTAAATTTTTTTTTTTTTTGAATAACCAAATATGGTAGTTGGAAAACTTTAAAATTGTACACATAAATTGGTCAGCAGAGGGCAGTCTAATTCTGTATTTGATAAAGTAGTTCTGACCTTTTGGAATAATTCAGTTACTCTGAAAATGTTATATTCTAAAGGGCAGTTTGTAGACTGTTGCACAGATCATCCCAAGAAATGAATTATCATATTCCTCAAATTAATGTAAAAGCTTCTCAGAGTAAACGATATGTATCATATAGTTGCCTCTGCTGCAAAGGCAATCCTTTGAATACTGTTTTATTTTCCTAAATCTCAATTAGTGTGTTTTTACCACAATAAACCATACTTACTTTTTTAAAAATTTATAAAAAAATTAGTAATATGAAATTTTTGAAGTCGTATCTAACAAGTATACTGCAAGAGGGACAAATTAAATGTCAGAACACTGGGCAAAATACTTGCAGATAAAATGCCAGTATACTGTCCTAAATCTATAGTGTTCTACTGTTTTCTTAAGCTAAACTTGTATGCAGATGCCAATGTTTACTAGTACTAAATCTAAGAAGTGTTAAAAAATTTGAGTATTTTTTCTTCACGCTTTAGAGTATATGTCCATACACATCAGTGAATAGCAGAATTTCCTGCGTTTCACCTTCCAAGCTGGTGCAGAACAGCAAACAAGATGACTGTACCAGCCTGTCTTTGTGCAAAGCTAATAATCCTGGCTCAGCTGATTTGAGGTGTGGATCCATTTAGCCCATGTTATCCATGGTTGCACAATTTAATATTAGTGAAGGGAGCCATTAGTGGAATGTTGTAGCATTTTATACCATTATAATTCTATCTTTTTGCTTTCCCTAACTAAGTTTTTTTTTTTATGAAAAACCCATTTATTTTATTATAACTGCCCATGGATTTTTTTTTCTGTTAATGGAAGCATTTGTCAGCTAAATAAAGTGAGGGCTTTTTGTACAGCTGGATACACTGCTGCTGTCTACTATAGTCCTTCTGACTCCGGTAAAAGTTTCTATGCAAGGAGAAACAGGAAGCTTGCAGATTCCTTTGCCCCTGCTAAACTAATTGCTGTAACTAGAGCTGTAATTCTCTGTCAATAGAGGAGCTTGTCTGTGACAGATGGCTGTGTGTATCAGCATAACTTTTCTCTCCACATCTTTTCAGTGGAATCTGAAATGTTAGCATCTGTGAAGCAAGTTCTTCAAAATAGGAAGATTGATGGGGGAATGTCTCTATCAAGCATGGTTGAGAACAGAACTTTGGCATGTGGCAAAGATTTTAAAAAAAAAGGTGGAGGAGAGCTGTGTATGAAGAGAGGCGGTAACATAGCCCAGAGACCAAGAGGAGAGACTGAAGGACAAGCAAATCCAAAGTGAGCATGCATTCCTTGACTTGTGTAGCAGACAGAACCTAAGTCTATGAATGGCATTGATAGCATGGAAGAGCTTCTGCCTGGAGGAACTTGGTATGGAAAGAGTTGATAGGAGCCACCAAATTGAGAAGCAATAGTAGTACAGGGAGTTTGTGAAGGGGGATGGGGAAAAGCAGGGAGGCTTTGGTGAGTACAGGCCCAATCTACAGCATCACTACAGTGCCGGTGATCCTGCCATAGCGATGCTTACCACTAACCCTCTGGTAAGCCAAAGTCATCACTGGTTGACCTTGCTTTAATCTGTTTAGGAGGGATACGAGGTCTCCACCTGTAAGCTGTGCATCCAGCCTGTTCTCAGTTGGTTACTCCCTGGGAGAGAGGTAGCACTTGGGAGTTGGAGGATTTCCAGCTGGAGGTGGGAGGCTTAGTCCAGGATCTGGAAGAGGTTTGGGCATGGCTTGCTTGCTGCTTGGTTCTGGACCTGAGCTGAGCCCTCTGTCAAGCACTCGTCTAGCACGTGTAGTGTTGTATAAGTGGTGACAGATGTTTTTAAAAATACCAAGTTTAGAATTGACTGTCAGGTACCTTTTCAGTGCAATGAGTAAATAATTAGAGGCAAGTAAAGTTTACATAAATTGTAGCTGGTGAGTCACTTATTTTGATCTCCTGTTTTTGGCATAGATTGGCATTGTCTTGGCTATAATAAAAAACCTTGTTTGTCTAACTTGAGATAATCTTGGATGGTTCCTACACAGTCGTTTTGGCTTATTTATAGATTCCTTTGCAAGAACATTAGGTTATCTTGCTTAGGAAGGGATGATCTAAATTGCAGAAAAGGTCTGTTATATCTTAGGAGTAATCCTTTAATGAGTACAGATCATGGAGTTTTATAGCACCCCCTTTTGTGTTGTCTGAGTCACAGACGACAATTCTGGCCTGAGGTTTTACAACAGAAATTAGATTACAAACAATATGTGATGAAACTGAAGAGAGATATGTATGTATGATTTTTTTTTTCTTTGAAAGAATTCTAACAATGGCTGTGTAACGGAAAATAATTCTAGTGAAACTTGGTTTTAGCTTTTTTCCTCTTCTACTTTCTAGTTTGGTCTTTACATATTTCTGAGGCTGTTGTGTTGCTTGCTGTGATTTGCATTAGTTTTAGAATCAATTTTTATTGTATTTTAGGAGCCGCAACTGCTCTTGCATTTGTCTTCATCATTTTATTGGAAGAAAATAAAACTTTGTGCTGTGAAGTTGAGAAATTTTCTGTAACTTGCAGTCTGAAAGTATTCCTGCTCTGTTGGACCTGGGTGTGTAGGATTCTTTCAGTGACAGTTTAATCAGCATCTTAGAACTTGCTTAGAAGAACCAGTGAAATCTGTTTCTTTGAGAAAAACTTAAAATTGCTTCTGTACCTACCAATGCATCAGCTATTTCTTTGGTTTTGTTTTGTATTTTTAAAAAGTTGTATTCCCAGGAAGGAGTTATAAACTGTATCTATCAGAATATGGGCTAGATCAGTGTTTCTTCAAAGTAGTTACGCTTCTTGCTTGCTGTTTTTTGGGATATACTCTACAAAACTTCTTTATTGTTTTTACCTTTTAAATCACTGTATTGAAGGGTATCTTGGATATTTTAATCAAACAGGGTTTATTTGAAAGACTGTATCCCAAAAGCTATTTGATTGAAGTTATTTTATCATGTGAGCTGATTTGTGTATTAAGGAATGTGCTGTGGTTGCAAAAAGACCATTTACTTTTATTTGCATTTTGATGCATAAAGTCTTGACAGGGGATTGCATTACATTAGGCTGTGTAGACACACCAGAGGACAGACTTCATACTCTCAAATTAACAAAATTAAATGTTTTCCTTCCAAAAAATTTCAAATAACTGGACTGGCTTATCTGTGGTTTATTTCCCCACCCCAACAGTCAGGAATATTTACTAATTGCAAAATATCTTCCAGGCATTGTTCCTTCTTCTGTTGTTCTGACTGCTTTCCAAGTGATGTCAAGGGTCTTCCTGACGTGGGCAGTAACACATAGTGTAAAAGAGGTAAGTTAAGCTACAAAATAGATCGAAAAACTAATGACCCATGCTGAAAAGCAAGTGTTGATCACTGTGTTATTTACCTTAAAATGACTTCTGTTTGTATCACCACCTCTGAAATTGTTCATGTGAATTTCTTTGGATCAAAAGAAATAAAAATAAATCTGACATCATCTTTTCTTGATGATCAAATAGACTGAAGACATCTAGCTCCTGAATAGATTCTGCAGTCCTTACTGAAAGTTAAAAGATGTTCCAGTGTGTAATATGGAACCCAGAATTTGGGACAGTGTTCCAGTATTGATCTCACTAATGCCATAATTAATAGAAAAACCTCCTCACTGCCCCCTCTTCCATACACAGTTTGCTTTCTTTGCCATGGCATGTGGAAGCTCCCCCTCAACTGTGCACAACAGTGCCTGGATGTTCTCTTTTATCTCTCTCCAGGATAATCTTCCCTCTGTGCTTCATCTATTTTTCTTATATTTAAGCATAGGTGGGTTTGGGGGCATGTGTGTTTTTTCTCATTACTTACCACACCAAATATTGCTGTACTTCACACAAATCTCTGCAGAATCTTTTGGAAGCAATCTTATTTTAAAATTACTCCTGACAGCTATTTAAAAATCTAAGCACACTTTAATTGATACAGATCATCTGAATACCTTGTGGTAGCCCAGGTACACCTCATCTGTGCTGTTACTTTAGCCAATGAATCTTACTGGGTTTCTTCTCATTAAAGAAGGAAATTAATCTTGATGCCAGTGTCAGCAGGGTTGCCTGAAATAAGTGATGGTCATCTAGTGTCATTATATGCATAAGATCTTTTGTGATGATATGGAGAATGTCTGAAGGAGCTGGCCTCATTACCAAGTCTTCAGGGAAGCTGCTTCCTCTGTCTTACTGCAAACCTGTTAGCAGAGTGTCCATCCGCATCTAGGGTATCATAAGTCACTGTAGTAATTAACAGCTTTTCCTGATATTATGATGCTTGTTCATGTGGAGCTTTAGTTTCAAGGTATTTAAAGTGGAGGAATGTTATTTTTTTCAGTAAACTCAAAATCTTCTAGATACTTATATCCTGGATTTGACTTTTGATGCAAATATGTATTCTAGTCACTCTTAATTCATTAGAGATAAATACTAGATTTTTTTGGGGAAAAAAAAAAGTAATCCCAAGACATTAGGTTTTAGACACACGTATAAAATATTTTAAAAGAAATATGCCTGTAGTTTTGCTTGCTACCTGTGTAATGTTGGAGTATCTGGTGCTCCATAAAGAACAAAGATAATCTGCTGTTATGAATTGCCTTCTGGTTTTTAAGTAACCTAAATCTTAAAGGTTGGATTGCATGGATTAGAATTATTCCATCTGTTGTCTGTTAGACATCAAAGGGAAGCCTGTAAAATTATTGTGGGTTAGGTTTCTTGAAACTTATGCCCACATTCTCACCAAAGAAAATCAGCAAAATGGGAGAAAATGTGAGCAACAAGTCCAGCCTAACATTCAGTTTTTAACAGGGATTTTTTTTTAATAAGGATTCTTTCAGCAATATGACTTGTGTTTTTTTCCTCACATTTGTGTGGTCTTTTGGTAAAAGTCTTGTGAGAGATTGTATTATGTGTTACCTTTTTGAATGTCTTAGAAAGTGGGCATAAGAATGGTAAGGATGCGGAATCTTGTGATGAGTTTTTCACCTGTGATTTAGAGAAAATAAATCATATGAAGAGGCTGTATTCTGACCCCTCCCCTTCCCCCCAACCAGAGAGCATGCAGCCTCACCTGGGGAGATGTACTGAAAGTGTCACAAGTGTTCTACTTTTTCTAAAGGGCTGTCTGCACAAGTGAGCTCCATGGTGAAGTCCAGGATTAAATTCTCACACAGCTTTATGGAACTTGTAAGCTATGCAGTTGCATGATGAGGTTCTTGTAAAATAAAACGCAGTTTTCCTCTTTAACTTTTTGAGTGAGACTTGTTCAGTATCTTGCTTTTCCAGACTGTTTTCATATATAATATAAAAGAAGAAACATCTGTATTGCATCCCTCCTTTCTGTCAGAATACACTTCTAGATATGTGATGTGATTTGAAGCATGCTTCTTGCCACTAACATGTTTGTGCTTTTTGTTGAATTTAGTGCTGATGTGTTGTTAAATTCAATATGAAATATTTATAATAAATGTTAAAGCATGGCAAATGTTAAAGCATTGCATACTTCTTTGGGTAGCAATGAGATTCCCCTTACCTCCACCGTATGAGGAGCTGTTAGCTTAGTGGAGGAGGGCCTGGCATGTAATACAGTACTTGTAATTGTTCTGTCATTACATCGGAAAGGGATTTGGTGAATTTTACTGTTTCTCCTACAAAGGAGGGAAGAGAATGAACAGACTGGTGTGAAGAGCTAGAAGAAAGTAGAGGCATAGGAGAACAGAAGGTGTCCTTCAGTTCAAAGTTGTCTTTTTGGATTTGTCTGAACAATGAGATAATTTGGTGACATGATGACAGACCTTCGTAGAGTTCTGTTCTGAGAGATAATTTTGCACTCAGTTCTGATGGGCAATTAAAGAATGGTGTCAGCAGTGATTAATGCTTATCCAGTTGGGTTCAGTTACAGATAAGTTGCAAATAAGTATAGTATCTATTTAGAGGAACCCTTCTAGAACAGTCAGTCAGAAGGGGTGGTATCAAGATGACATGCACAGCATATCGAGCTGGTAATTAAGACTCTAGTATCTGCAGTTGTGAATTGACATCTTCAATCAGTAGTAAAGCATACTAAAAGAAGGAAGAGCATCTTGTTTTATGATATTTAAGACTTAAGTTGTAGTAAGAGAAGTCCATGCTGGGAAAGTTCAGAATTCTACATTGGCAAGTGCAGTTGAAAAGCCTAATTCATCACTGCTTTACATCTGTGAAAATTTGGAATAATACTGTATAACACAAATGTCTGTCAGGCCCTTTGTGCCTACTGTGAAGTTTCCACTATTTTTTTTCCTATAATGTAGCAGAGAACCAGCACTCTGGAGGGAGATGTGCTGTTTCATCATTATGGTTGCATAGTGCTGCTGGTTTTACTCTTCTGCACTGGATTGCTTAATTATGTGTTTAGCTGAAGTTTTCTGCAAATAATTTGTCAAACTGTTACTCTTAATGTGGAGAAATCTATAGAATTTTCCTTTTCATGCATAAGGAGAACAGTAAAAAACCTCTCAGGCTTTATTTTGTCAATTCCAAATTACCATCTTTACATCTTAAAAGGTTGTGTGTTCTCTTCTGTTTTAACAAATGTCTGATATTCATAGTAATGAAGAAAAGCTAAAATATATTCAGGACCCTCCTTGATGATAAATTGATTTGAAACACATGTCAAAAAGTTGTGCCTGTGGTATGACTGACCCTTATTAAGGCAGTTGGACAAATAAGTTGTAAAGTGTAAAATGTGCTTTGACTTTGTCTCACATCTCCTTCAAAGACTGGCATGAAAAGGTAGAGGAGGAGAAATTGAGTTCTGAGGCAGTATTGTCTTAATGGTTTATTAAGGGTCCACTGTTTATTTCCCTTATCCTCAACTTGGAAGAGGAACAATACAACTGCAACATTAGCAGTGCCTAAATGGCTAAGACTCTTGAGAGACTCTTTCGTAAATCAGTTCCCAGGGGTTTGATAATGTGCATCTCAGACATCTTTATTTGAAATAATGGAAAGTTGTCCTCAAAAATATGTTCTAATAGTGATAGACTTCTGACAGATCTGTTAGTGTGTAAGAAACATACTTTTTTAATGATGAGTCATGGAATGTAGTTAAAATAGGATGATAAAACACACAGTAGTCTTCTGTTCCTTACTGCACAGAATGTAACCATTTGCAAACTGCATAGGTCACTTTTATATGAAAACTACCACTAACTTCTAGTATTGCTTCAGTAAATAGGGACTCTTTAAGTGATTCTTTAGTCACCTGATAGTGATTCTTTAAGTGACCTTAACGGGGTGGGGTGTTGTGCGTGTGTGTGTCTTATAATGGTGTGAGCTGTTTTCCTAAATTCTAAACACAGTTCTAATATTAGATGGGAAAGGCTACACCTGTGAAGGCAGTGTTACAGAACTCCTGTGGTAGAACTGGGTTGTAACTGCCAGATGTTCTACTTCTACATATATTGTTCACTGTTAGCCTCACAGTTTCTTATCCTTGCTCATCCTTGGGTGCTACTTCAAGCTACAGATTTTTGTTTGTTGATTTTATTGACTTCCTTAGCTAACGAGAGAAGTGAAGTTTCAGGGTGCAGGTGGATGCCTATAACTGATAGGCTTAGATGAGCTCAGTAAGCTGCTACTCCTGATTTGACCAGAAGATGCAGCTCTGGCGTGCTTGTGAAGCATGTTGTTCCCTGGGAACAGCATCATCTGTGAAGTGCTGTTAACCTGTTAACCTTTCCAGGCTGAGAACGAAGTCACGCTTATAAAAGCAGGCCCCAATCAGAATTAGGATTCTGTAGCAAAGTAAAAATAAATTTGGTCTCTTCTCTGAAAATCTTTGGATTTAGTTCTTTTATGCTGATGTAAGGGAGATTAATATATAAATTATCAAGAGTTTAATGTGGAAAAAGGACAAGGTGCATTTCCTGTAAAATGCAGTGAAAGTGACTTGAAATGCTATATGCAGTAGAATATAGATTAAAAGCAGCTCTACATTCCAGGATATCCCAGAATTTCTATATAAATCTTTCTGGGTTTTGTACTCTGTAAGGGAAAGCTTTTTATGGGTAATCTTCATGAGTGTTTTATGCACAAATATGTGATCAGTCCCCTTCTATTAATAGATTTGATGACCCATATATTTTCTTGTTCCTTTTTTCATTTGTACGTGTATTCTGACCAAGATGAATAGTGTGTACCACCCACACCTACTGACTTCCTTTTCCCTTTTTTCAAGAGTTAGAGGAAAAAAGAGAATGTGGGCTGTTGTGGTTGAGCTTTTTATTCCCATGGTCCATCAAATTTGGGCTCAAGGTACTCATACAGCTGAGAATTCTGAGGGGGAAGGGCTGCATAAAAATCATGTTTGTGCTCTCAAGAGTTTGTAGTGGGGGTATGTGACCCTATTTCATCACTGTTACTCCATCTGAAACGTAAACATCATAATTATGCCTTCAAATCTGATAATTCATGTAAAATACATGCTTTTGAAAATTAACCTTAAATATGAAGGGAGTAAAAGCTGGCTCAGTGATGTGTGTCTGAAATAAAAGCTCTAAGAGGTGTAAAGCAGTGAAACGTAATAATGCCTTGAGTATAACATTAGAGGAACCATGCTACATACAGTAAGCAGGAGCAATGGGCAGTGAAGCAGGTAGTTGTCAGGCTTACCTGAGGTGAGATAAGCTGAGCTTCTGTTTCTTCTCTCCTCCCAACTTATGTCCTGGTGTTAGCTGTTTAGCTGCTGCTCAAAATTTAAGACCCAGTTTCTCATCTGTAGGGAGAGGAAAACAGTGCTTCTACTCAGAAGTAGCATGGACTAGGGTCAGAATATAAAGTATAAACCAGATACCAAGTTTTAGACTAATGTGTTAGCATTGTTTCTGCTTGCTGCACTAGGAAGTAGTTATAGGACTGCAATAGAAGCTGGTACTGTATAGGAATGGGAAGAGTTACAAGTTGTTCTTGGCATTTCAGGGATTTCTTGTGCTGACTTACCTTGTACAGAATGGGAGATCTTATCTTTCCTGATCACCAAGCAGAGCTATTCTTAGGCAACTAGAAAAATACGGAGCGTGATAAGAAGGGTTTTTTACTGTTGTTACAAACGTTGCTTTTAAGCTCATTCTTGGAGTCTAATCTCTAAAATGATGCAGTAAAGCAACCCATGGGAATTGATTTCTTTGAGCTTTTCTTAGATCTGGTGAGTAATTAGTAACACTTGAATTCATACTGAGCTGCTTTTCTTTCTTACAGGTACAAACTGAAGATAGCGTCCTGTTGTTTGTAGTGGCCTGGACAATCACTGAGATAATCCGTTATTCTTTTTATACATTTAGCTTGTTAAACCATCTCCCTTATCTCATCAAATGGGCCAGGTAGGTGGCATAATAGAAATCATAGCCTTAAAGCACTGATTTGACAGAGGTAGTTATCTTGTAAAATAACTGCAGTACAAAAAAATTAGAACATTTATTACATTATAAACTGAAAGAGTAGTTTGTCAAAACTCAGTCTCATTTACAAAGTGATAGTGTTTGTCAGAAACTGACATTTAACATTAAGGGTTAACAGTAAGTAAACTGACATTTAACAGTAACCCTTGAATGCAAGGGTTGTACTTCAAAGTCTGTAAACTCATTGATTAATATCAACTGTTTGCCCCATTTTAAGTAATATAATGATGTCTACCAGAGTTTGGAAATCAAAGCAACAAAGTGTGTAGGGGAGAATAGTTTAAAGATAGTTTTTAGATTCTCAAAGGCAGTCTTTAAATAATTAAAACCTATTGCTGATTTCAATACTTATCTTGCAATAATGTTCATACCTTGCCATGCTCTAATCAAGTAAGAGCTAAGGGAGATAAATACTGAGTTGAGAATTTAAAATTTGAATATCCATAATAGCACTTAACAAGTACTTTGTCAAGTTTGTCATAACTTTTAATCCTTTCCATAACTGTTTTGTTCTAGGTACACTTTGTTTATAGTATTGTATCCAATGGGAGTTTCAGGCGAATTACTCACAATATATGCTGCATTACCCTTCGTCAGGCAGTCTGGCTTGTATTCCATTAGTTTACCCAACAAGTACAATTTTTCTTTTGACTACTATACATTCCTGATCCTGGTTATGATCTCTTACATTCCAAGTAAGTATGAGTTTGTTAGGTTTTCTTAATATTAAAAGCTGTAACAGGAAAAGCTAATGACTGTGGGATTAACAGACATATAACTAGTTTTGCAAAATTAATTTTGACAATTATCTAAAGAAAAAAAAAAAGTCAGAGTTAAAACTGCAGGGATTGCCCCCCCCCCCCCTTCTAGGAGAACAAAGTTCAAAACAACTTCTTAAAATTCAGTGCTTTATCAAGAAGATAAACACCATTGGCTTTGCATGAGTGGGTAGGGAACCATTTCCGCTGAGTTAAGTTGAATTGACATAATCTCTGGTTGATGTTTCTGTATATGGAATGGAGATTTGTCTTTGCTGCTTTGAAATGGGGAGTAGGAACACAGAAGCCTTTAGCAAATTTAAATGTGAAAATAAAGTCTAACATGCAGAATAATGTAGTGATGGTGTTGCTGCTGTTAGCTATCTGCAGCTGTCTCTATAAACCTCATTGTTTATGCCAAATGATAAACCATATTCAAAGGTTTAAATTTTAGTGGTGTGCCTGTCTCTGTAACAAGCACTTAATGCTTTCAGGGAACCATCTTGTAATTCTGACATCAAGGTTCCATAAGTTTTTGGGGTTTTTTTTCTGGCTGTTCTTTTAAAAAAAAATATATCTATTTTCGTGCATTTGTTTCTCCTCGTCCCCCTCCAAAAATGGTGATGTTATTAACTCCAAGCAGCCATATTAGTATCTTTTGTTTTAGTCAAAATAACCACAAGTATTAATTACTTGTGCTGTAGCTAGATCATAGCTGACAGGCCATGTGGGAGGGAACCCACATTGAACCCAAGTAAAAATTTTATTTCAGTTTCTCCATTAAAATTGCTGTCTCTTAAATGAGGTATTTTCTGTAATCTGTTATCATTTGCTGAATGTGTAACAGGAATGCAGTTTTTCTCTTATTTCCTGATTATTTTTTTTCAATTCTTACTTTGAATTGATCTCTGAGAACCAGCTGCTTGGAGCCTTTTCATTCCAGGTGCCTTTTCACATGAAGGAATTCTTGTGCTATTTCTGAGATACAAGGAATATTCCCTGTTCACAAAGGTTTAGCATCTCATGGCAGTTTTAGCTTTTGTTGTTTATGTATGTATGTTTTCCATGCTCTTCGCAGAAGTTGTTCTGCAAACATACTATGTAATGTAGTCCTAGAAATAGGAAGAGCTGTGTGTGGAGGATAAAGAGAAGAGATGAAAGAGGCACCAATTTGTATGAAGTTCTTTAGATCCTGAAAATGTGACACTAGAATTAAAAGAAATTAAATCTGGAAATTTCATTCTTTTGGAAAGACACTTTCCTCCCTGCACTGTATTTTCTTTCTATATGTGTGTGCAGTTCAGGAAACTTTTGACATCCTGCTTGTATATGCAGAGTTAAATAAGGCATTTTGCATGTAATTAAAAATGTGATTGATCTAGCAAAAAATAAATAGTACCTGAAGCCTAAGAACAATATCACTTTCTCTAAAGAGTAAAAGGAAATAGGTGACTTGAGCAGAAAGCAGGTAAGTGTGTTTTCTTTCAATAGAGAATTGGTGACCTTGAGCATGTGACTGTGCATCTTACATTGACATGTAAGCCTCACTTCATACTTCATTTACTTAAGTCCGTTTTCTCTTCAGTCTTTCCTCAGCTGTATTTTCATATGCTACATCAGAGGCGAAAGGTACTCTCCCACACTGAAGAACACAAGAAGTCGGAGTAATTCCAACTCTTTTTCAGAACTTTTCAAACATCAGAATGCTGCAGATTTTCAATACCCAGCACATTTGTAAAGAATATACCAAGATAAAATGTCAGAGGTAAAAGACCAATAATTTAGCAAGAATAACCAATAATTCTGATTTCACTGAAATTCCACGATGTAAAACATTGAAATAAGTTTCAGCTTGCAGTGCGTCAGAAAACTTTTGAACTTTATATGGCTTGGCAGTTAGCCTTTTCCTTAAATGATGTGCTAAATGGTTTTCATTTATTTCTAAATGCCTGGAGGTTGCAGTTCAAGTGATGAAGTTGTACCCACTAAATGCTTGAATTGGGATTATATTACTGATAACTTTTTAAAGTGCTTGACTGCATGCCAGAAACTGTATGTATTGCTGTGAAAGCAAACAGTATGCCTGGAATATTTCAGGATTTTGTCAGAGACTCCAGTGGAGAATGTAATCTGGGCAAAGTGGTGAATTTAGAAAGGTAGGTTATGTATTTAAAAGGTGATGGGAACAAGAACAGGAAACCAATTATGGGAAATGAGGGGAATGTAGTTCTTTAGGAATTTAAACAGTAGAGTATCTGACCTGTTCAGAGAGTGTGTTCTCTGAAGATCTTGTTTAAACTGATTACTCAAATGCTAATGTTAATTCAGAGGCGATAATGCTTATCTGAAATACTAAAACTCCTTTAAGTGCTGCATCCCTTGATACTTTTTAAAATATTTAAAAAAGAATAAATAATACTAACTGTAATACTTCTAGTGATATCAGTAATGAATCTAAAGAATATAAGGAGGCAGGTCACCCAGGAACAGGTGCAGTTCTCACTTTTTTACTTTAAATTATCATCTCTAATCACTGTCCACTATCTCAGTGGTACTCATCTTTGAGTGTTGAGGACTCTGATCTACTGTGGAATCATTTTGAAGGCCTTGTTCCTCAGGACAACTTTTAGAAGTGACTAATGTGTATCACTCTGGCATATCCAAGCAGGCAGTTCCAGACACTCAGTTTCTGAAATGTTGCAAAGTCATAAACTCCTTCTTTGAAAGCAGATTATCTCATGTGTTACATGCTGCTTTTGCAGATTGGACGAGCCTTCCCTCATCTGCTTTTTTAAGAGAGCAGAAGACCACAGAAAGTTAATTTTTTCTAGGTGCTTCCTTTGGGTTCTCAGGCTTCCCTTGGGAAGGTAAAACAGAAAATGAAAGAACTGAGAAAACCTTGTGGTGAGGCAGAAAGCACTAATGCTTTGTGAGCAGTGCCCCAAGTTATGAACAAACTGTTGATTGTGGGCAAGGGGTGAGGAATGGAGCAGGGAAATGAACAGGTACCCAAGTAAAGGCAAAAGGAAATATAGGTTATGGCCTTTGCTCTGTTAGGACTATTCCACTATTGATTCCTATCTTTACCCAGTCAGAGCCAGTAGACACCACAAGGGCTTCTCTGGCTTCCCTCTTGTAACATTGTGATTTAGTGCATAAATGTGCACTATCATGGTACCTGCAATACTAGTGTGGTGCTGTGCCTGCCAGCACCTCCCCCTGGACAGGGCCCATATCTGTGTCCAGTTACCCATGCTTGATGCATTGCAGCTCTCCCTGAATGTAGCCAGTAAGTACTAAGGCCACAGGCTCTCTGTTCAGCCACTTGGAGAGCTGGATTTACAATTTGTTTATGCTTGTCAGAGCTATATTAAAAACAAACCCCTCTCCAAACTGACCAGCTGCATTTTTCAGTAATTTCCTTTGGCTCTGTCAAAGTCTGACTGAATTTTCCTAGCGCTTGGTAACATGTATAACACCTTTCCTGTTCAACACAAACAGGATTAAGCAAGGAGAGGGCAAGAGGGTATGATCTTTGCTTCTATTGTAAACCTTTTGGAGATGGTTATTGGCTCTAATCAAGAAACACTGTGGCTGTATACAATCTCAGATTGGTTTTGCATTCAGCGATGCAACAATTTCAATTCACTGCTTTAGGCTATATGGCACTTTGTTGTAGCGATCTGAGGAATGTTGCATTATACTGAACTGATTGTTCAAAAGTGTAAACTTCCACCTCTGAGCAAAACATCTCCTTTTGCTTATACCTAGTATTAAATGAGTTTGTGTCAGTATTTTTGAAGGATGTCATCTAAAAGATCTAATTCCCCAATGTGCTCAAGTTGCTGGATTGTCAGTGCTCAGCTGCTGAACTTCTCTTGATATCATTTCTGTGCCCAAATAAAAGATTTATTTTCAAATTTGTTGGTCCAATTTGGAGAAGAAAATGACTGTGTAATATTCCTATATGAAACAAACATAGCTCTGTTGATAATAAAGATGATGAGATAGTACAGATCTGTACTATTAGATAGCACTGGCACTGTGGAAAAGCAGAGAGCTGTTAGTAGGGAGAAAGCTTACTGAATAAGCTTTATTAGGGAATATTTAATTGAAAATACTAATTTACCACACAAATGCAAATAAACTACAGCTTTTTAAAAGAAAATAGTTACTTTCCCTTTTAAAAGAAAATCAAATTGCTTTGATAATAAAATCTTATCAGCAAAGTTGATGAAGTTAGATTCTGAAGTATGAACATGCAGTTAGTATGTACAAGAATTCCATCACTTCAGTTTGCAGTGCTTTTTCAAGTTTATTTTCCGTGGAAACACTGGAAGGTGATCTTGAGGAACAACTGTAGTATGATGCCCTAACACAGTTTGGGTTTTTCCCTAATACTGACTTTAGACACATGTGTGGATGTTTTTTCCTCATAAGAGCAGATTTCCCCTCATCTGTCAGTGAAATTGTAACGTGCTTTATTGTGAAGCTTATAATAGAAGCTTTGATTAGCACTTCTTCACAAATCTAGAGGGGTTGTTTTACCCACAGACTATTTACTTGGCTTGCATGTTTTCTATCAGCATCACCAAACTTCTGCAGCAGACATGTTTTCTGCTTTGGTAGTCTTTGGGTTGCGTTCACTGGTTCAGTCGACAGTACTTTCTGTTCTGCCATGCCAGCTTTGTCAAAGTTAGTCATTGCCCTCTAAAAGACCAAGGTTCTTACCAGTGTGTAGTTACAACTGGAATTGTAGAAATGTTCATATTGTAAATTACAGTAAGATGCAGGTTACAGTGCAGGCAAAATGTAATTTTTCACAATGTGATGTTTCTATTAAAGGCTTTTTTATTATTAGTAGAAGGGTTGGCATTTGTGTGGACCAATCTGCAGTGTCATTTTAAAACCTATCTTTCATCTTAGAATTTTCATGAGTATACATCAAATCACACATTTTGATGTATATTTGTCAGTGAAATTTGGGTGAAAACTATATACAGTCATTTTTGTATTTTTTTCTATGTTGTGAAGAATAAAATTGTAATTTTATAAGTCTGATTCACTAAGATTATTATAAGTTAAATGTATTTTTTGTATATTTAGGAATCTGGTATTATCTGGAGCTCTGAAAGATTAAGGATAGACTTTTTATGCATGGTTGGAAGATTTCTACTTGATAATGCAGTGAAATGGTTTGTATGCTAAAATACTAGTCTGTGTTGTTGCCTTGTGAAATTGATTCTGTGCTCTCTGCCTGGATTTGGCCTACTGATCAGTGATACTAATTGCTATAATCCAAATAAAGTAATTCTGAACAAAATATGTTGTTTTGTTACTGTTTAAAGAACAAAAGCAGGTACTTATAAATGTGAAATTAGGGCTGTATTTTTATTCATTTGTATATAATGTGTACCTTGCAGTTTACAAGATTTTTTTGGTATACATAACTTTTGAGCTCAAACAAAAGAATTAAGCAACCGGTACAAATGCTCTGCTCTTCACTTTTAAAAGACTATTCATAACAATGTGTTAACTGACTGTTAACATCCAAACTTACTTCCTCAAGGATCCTCAGTAGAATGCAGACTCTTTGTTCTCCTGTTATTTGTACTCTAGATGGTGATGGTTTTCTACAAAAACAAAATTATTTGAGTATTATGAATATACTGGAATGCTTAACTAATGCAACAGAATACTTCAGAGTTCATTTACTAAATATACTATGTCTGCTACCACGGCAACGTTCTTAGTATTTTTAACACTTCCTGAGAGAGATTTAAATACTGTGTCTAGATGCCATTAATTCTCATAAATAACAAGTTATAATCCTCTAATAGGAACTGGGGAGTAGTTGCAGAGTGAGTGCTGTTATTCTAGGCATATGCTTGTCATAAGATTGCACAACTACAGTGATTTTCTTGTTTGATTGCAGACGGGATGAAAAAATGTTGTCATGCCCAGCATGAGCACATGTCCTACGCATGATAGCTGTGATAGCACTACTGTGTAATTAAAAACTTGTACTTGAAATGTTAAGCTGTGAAGAGTGGTGCTGAGCTCCATTTGTGCCTTAGAATAACTTATTTCTGGTTATTTGTGTTTCCTTCTTGCATTTTGAAAACAGTATGTGTGGAAACAATTTTAGTTACCTAGAGCAACCTTAAAAAGTCTGAAAAGCATAAGGATTCTGTGTTTGTATGCTAATTAATTTCACAGTAGTATTTAAGTCTCATCTTAAAGCATTGGCAGTTCTTGACAAAAGACTTGAAGAATCTGTGCTGGTGTGCTGAGTATAAAATACAAATGTGTGAATATCTGTATGATTCAGTTTCATTTGTTATGGACCAAGCATTTCTGCAGTTGGGATTCATTTGATTCAAGCCACATGATTGCCTGGAACTTCCATTCAGTATCCAGTAGCTTTTAAATTCTGCTTCTCATCTCCTAAACAAATACTCTTCCACACTTGTCAGAAGACTTCTAAGTTTAAGACTTCTAAGATTACAGTGAGAGAATTAATAAAGATTCTGTAGTGGTTTCTGAAGGCTACCTTAAGGCGGTTGGAATTAAAAATGTGAATGGAAAACTTGAAACTCCTTTAATCCTGTTGGTCACTGATTTCTAGAATAATACTTTCCTTTACAGATGTGAAAGACCTTTAAGCTCTTCTTACATCTTCAGAAATTAGCTGGGTGTTAGTATTGTCAGAGATGTGCTTTTCTTTGATGTGCTGATATTTATAATGTGCTAATATTAGGGGACGAGATGTTACTGTCATACCTTAATTTTTCTAGTGTTTTAAGTAGATGCGTATTATTTCAATCTTCCACTGTAAAAGCATAATTCACAATATTTAGAAACACTTCCATATCTAGTTATCCTTGCACAAACTCTTGTGTCACAACAAACTGCCTCTCTAGATTTGATTAATTCTGTATAGTTTGTACATAAACATTTTACATTGCCTGGTACTACAGGAGGATGTTATTGGGAAATTCATTAGTGGAAGCTTTTGCAGAGGCTTACTCAGCTAAATTATGAACACTGAATTGCATTTTGTTCTGTCTTTTTGACTCCTGCTTCAGACAGTCTGCACAATCCTTCTGCAAACCATCTGTTATCACTTAAAAGTGTAATCACTTACAAGTGTACATTAAAAACTTTAACACTGACATTTTCTAGTTTGAACACTTGAACTTGCAGAATCATCTTTGCTGTGTAATCTACATTCAGCTTCTTGGGCACTACAATGAGTTAGTCTTACTCTAAGAACAGTGAGTGATAACCTGAAGAATACATATAGGCATTTCAGGTATCTTTAAAATTAGTTTTAAGTTGATGTCAATTTAAAGGTCAGCCCTTTGTTTCTTCTGCGTCTAGCCTGCCTGTGAAAAATTCAGTTGAGAGGATGTAGGAAGTTGAAGGCCCTCCATTCAGCCCAATACTAGGTTCCTTTTATGAAATCAGTTTGCCTTTTAGTTAAAGGTTTTTTTCAGATAAAATACCACCTCTTCACTTACTGGATAAGAAAAAGATACTGAGTGCTGATCTTCTCTACTAAATGACAGTCGATAAAAAGATGAGATGGAAGAAGAGGAGAGGTAATGGAGGATACAGAGCTACCACTGCGCTTTCCAGAGCATATCTGGGTTTTGACAAAACATGAAACTTGCTTCCTTTTTTCCCTTGGTATCCAGTAGTTGATTTGGTGAGGTGGGGGGTATTGTTTGGTTTGGGGTTTTTTGGTTTTGGTGTGTCTTTTAAAGGCAGAATAACAGCACTTAATGGAAATGCTGCAGTGTTTTGTCTGGTGTGCTGATGACATGAAGTCCCTTTCATTCTCTACCAGGTGTTTATTACATGATTATGGGGAGCTGGATGCACTGGCTTAGGTGCTCTGTTTAAATCCTCTGTTCCTCTGAATAAACTACTGGGAAAGTTACTGGTCTGAGTATTAAATGTGTTTCCTTACTCAGCTTTTTGGTGCAATTTAAATTAAGTAAACAAAGCACTTTAACCGTTCTGAATTTAGCAGAGTGGAACAGGGGGGAAAGCTTTCTTCTATCAGCAAGAAAATGGATGTGAAATTGGAAGTAAGACATTATGAGTTAGTATATTTCTGGAGTGACTGGAAAGTAGCAGTTGATATTGTCAAAGCCCTACCAGATGTGAACTGTGCAGTGTGAAAGTTTTTAATTTTTCTTCAAAAAGTACTGTCAAATCAAAGGCTATGTGGAAGCCTGCTCTAGGCATACAGGTGTGTACAAACATGGGGCAGATGTAAGCATTCATGGGCCAGTGTGCTCCAGTTTCCTGGTGGTACGGGACTGCAGATCAGGCCATAGCTTGCCAGATTTTTAAGAAATAAATTGCTGGTGG